ACAGAGCATAGTGCACAGAGCATAGTGCACAGAGCATAGTGCACAGAGCATAGTGCACAGAGCATAGTGCACAGAGCATAGTGCACAGAGCATAGCGCACAGAGCACAGTGCACAGAGCATAGTGCACAGAGCATAGTGCACAGAGCACAGTGCACAGAGCATAGTGCACAGAGCATAGTGCACAGAGCATAGCGCACAGAGCATAGCGCACAGAGCACAGTGCACAGAGCACAGTGCACAGAGCATAGTGCACAGAGCATAGTGCACAGAGCATAGTGCACAGAGCATAGTGCACAGAGCATAGTGCACAGAGCACAGTGCACAGAGCACAGTGCACAGAGCATAGTGCACAGAGCATAGTGCACAGAGCATAGTGCACAGAGCATAGTGCACAGAGCATAGCGCACAGAGCATAGCGCACAGAGCATAGCGCACAGAGCATAGCGCACAGAGCATAGCGCACAGAGCACAGTGCACAGAGCACAGTGCACAGAGCATAGTGCACAGAGCATAGTGCACAGTGCACAGAGCATAGTGCACAGAGCATAGTGCACAGAGCACAGACCATAGTGCACAGAGCACAGAGCATAGTGCACAGTGCACAGAGCATAGTGCACAGAGCATAGCGCACAGAGCACAGAGCAGCAATGAGACTAACCAGGGTAGCGCTGTCTGACGTAGTACTGGAGGGTGTCCAGCACACGCAATCTGGCTTGCTTATTATCGTGCGAGGAAGCCAGCCTGTCTACGATCACATGCATACGCACGTATACACGCACGTATACACACACGTATACACGCACGTATACACGCACGTATACACGCACACATACACACACACACACACACACACACACACACACACACACACACACACACACACACACGTAACCAAGATCAAGATCGGTCCAAGAGGGACTGCAGCATCCCAGACCTGCCAACCATCCCAGTTTGGCCGGGACCGTCCCGATATCGAGGGTGGTAATAGGTACCCAAAAGTGCATTTGTCACACGCCTCACAGCTACATTTGTATACATTTTCATACATACATGTAGGTAAGTCATTGTCCCCATCTCAGGTTTGCAACGCTTGGCAGGTATGGCATCCCCTCCCTCCTCGGCTCTTCCCTCTCATTTCATTTCATTTTTATTCCCGTATCTATGCAGAAGACGTTACTTCAGTAACGTCTGGCGCTAGCCAGGGTCCACACAGCTTTAATTTGGTATTTGTTTGTGTGTTTGTGTCACGCCTGGCGCTATCCGTATCTGACGGCAAAAAAGCATAGGATGTTATAATTTTTTCAATTCTCCTTTTTTTCAGGCATATCCTGGGATTCGAACCCGCACTATCGCCCTACATGCATTCCCCCATACACTTCGCATTCATACCCATTCTTCCAAGTTGCTTCACGTTATTATCTTGCGTTTGAAAGCCCTATTTGAATATTGCGGGCAGCTGTATGTGGCCAGCTGTGTTTGATGGTACGGTACGGTACGGGAGACGGTGTCGTATTACCCTCGATCGTACCTGTCCCGTACCTATCCCCTACCGTACCGTGCCATCAAAGACGGCTGGCCACAATGCATATTCAAATAGGGCTTTCAAATGCAAGATCACAATGTGAAACAACTTGGAAGAATGGGTATGAATGCGAAGTGTATGGGGGAATGCATGTAGGGCGATAGTGCGGGTTCGAATCCCAGGATACGCCTGAAAAAAATAGGAGAATTGAAAAATTTATAACATCCTATGCTTTTTTTGCCGGTAGATACGGATAGCGCCAGGCGTGACACAAACAAACACAGTCCGTGCGCCAAGGCCCTTGAGAGACCGACTTTCATTTTCTCGCGGGAATCGTAGCCTCCAAGGCGCCGCACCTGCGGGCTTGTTTTCTGTTGATTTCGCCTATCTCCGAATGGTGAATATTTCAATGAAATTTGCTGCTAAGAGCCCTTCTAGTCTCGTCAGGAGACCTTTCCTACACTGGAGAGATGGCTCGGAGTGATGTAGACACCTATGGCCGTACCCTGGAAAATTTTTTTGGAGCTTGCAGTTCGTGAGCAGCCACCAAGGACGAATGTCTCACTTTTGTAATTGCTGAAACGTCGAATATGGTCACCAATTTCACACCAGGTAAGGCATCGCGGACACTAAAGCCGCTTTGTGGGGTGATAGACCAAAGCTTTATCTTTCGAATGCACGAAAAATTAGAGTGATACCTATGTGCCCCACAATTGCACCCGAAATAAACCACGCACAGGCAATATTGTGATTTTATGAGAAGAGACAATTGAGCATGCTCTAAATCATCATGACCTGTTGTATTACTTTTCAAACACCACTCCGAGTGAGCATCTACCAATCCTTTATCAATTTTACAGGGACATCAGGCGCGTGCACCGTATGAGTTTTTTGGTGTCTGGAAACCACCTTTTTTCGGGCAATCTTGCCAAAGGAAAAGCGTGTCTAGCGCCTACGCTCGTACTGGATTGGTTATCCTGCATACGCGTCGATCGACGGGCAGTTAACAGTACAGTGACTATGTCCTTATTTCGAAGTGAGAGAGAGTTGCTTTGCATGCAGTTCGAAATACAATATTCTCTCCTTCTTCAGTGGAGAGTAGCCACAGAGAGATCGATCTCTAGCTCTGGTTCGCTCCTGGATTGGCGATGACGTTCAAGAAATCCGTTTTGTCTCGAAATTTGAGTCAAGCACGCGCGATGCAAGTCAGTTCAAGGATATGATTGACGATATCTCCTTCCAAACTGTTGACTCAAATCGAGATGACAGCCTTTCGTTCTCGCTCATGTGCGCAGCAGAGATGTTCGTCAAAAACGTTGTCGACTGGAAGACGTAAAAATGTGCGTCCATGATCCACTTGCGCTGCTTCAGAACGAAGCGCAGCTCCGGCCGCGACTCAAGGGCTCGGGGCTTCGCTTTTCTCCCGCGAGCTTCCATCGAAGCAAGGTCCATAACTCTTTATTGAAATCATGTGGAACATTGCCAATACATGCCGAAAACTTCGTCATAAGAACAGAAAGAAAGACACGTCGAATGTAAGCAGTGTTTTGATGAAACAAACATGCCTGCATGGAGTGGATTAGTGAAGTACCATAGACATAGTGTTATACTTATAGACTGTAGTGTATACATGTAGCCTGGGCGGCTAGGCCTAGAAAACTTTTACGGGTTCAATATGACAAACATGTACAGTGTATTTGAGTACATTTTAAATTTGCCCCGTCTTTGCAAATACTTTTTGAAGTGCTTGTAAAAGTTGTATGTAAAAGGTAACCCGTACCCGTTTTTTCTGCTACCGGTTATACATGCACATGTAGATCTACCAACATTTCCATGTAACATCGTCCCCTCCCTCCATTTTTCCTCATTACTCCCATTTCTGTCCTTTCTACCCCTGTACCTGGTTCCCTCTCAGACGCGTTTGTGCCGGCATGATCTGATGATAGCAGTCGGACGAGCCCCGCATCTCATCAGCACCAGTGCTCATTGGTGCCCTGCACCCCTGATCTTGAGTCCCCCCCCTCCTAGTCTCCTCCCTAGCCCTCGCCGTTATCTCCGACGGGATGTTCGGGGGATGCGCATGCGCATGTGCACAAATACATACTTATACAGTGGGTCTCCAGAAAAAAATTACCAACTCTAGAAACCCCCCTTTCAAGACTCGGTGCACGCCACTGGACATTTGAGCTTAGGGGATAGAGGTGGGATATTTCACCAGCTGAAGTACTAGATTTTTTTCAAAATTTGTTGACTACTAGGTTGCATAGTGTAAATATGTCAGTATTATGTGCATTATTGTGGTGAAATTCTGAGCATCCAATTATTATAGGCACAACAGCACTGGTGCATGCCCTCTCCTAGATCCTGCTCTCTGACTTTTTTCTTGCATTGCACGACTCAAATCCGTCGAATGAAATGAAGGAGTAAATTTGTTGCTGCCAATTAACTGCATCAGTTCTGTTTTCCTCTGCTGTTCTTCTTTCAGTGTGGTGACTTCTGATCCATGAGGCGATGGCATGAAGTCAATAGTTTGCAGTATGTGCAATATGCGGCAGTCTCTCTGTCAATGGACCTGTGACAGCTGAAGCCCAGATGTTGCAGTTTGATGTCTATGGCCAGCAGCAATCTAATGTTGTTGCACCTTTCCTTCCACACACAGCAATGCGGAATATGTCATGGACAGACATCGCTAAACTGCCTCTTTTGAAGAAGCATCGCAATTCTTGTCTGCCAATAAACAACAGACTAGCCAGCTATAATTACAATTTGGAGGTCGGAGACGCGATCCCGTGAACGTATTGCGCCAACTGCAATGAAGAAGGCCTTAGTGATCTGGATTTATTACCATTCTCGTGTGGATAACTATGGCGTTGTGATCCAAGTCATGCAGACTATAAAATGCCTTAGACGTGAGATAGTGAAGGTACTGCCGACAGCAAGCCAACAGTGGATATGAACCACGCCGCCAGCATCATTCTGCACACCAGGAGAATCCAATACATATAGCTGCCAACTCTGATGGTATAGACCCGATAACTTGTTTTCTTACTCTAAGATTGGTATACAATTATACATGTACTAGTGCAATCTCTATCCATATGCGTAATGCACTGTATTTGTTTCCGGTGACTGGAGGTAGTTTACCATAGCACTGTTTTATGTCCTGGTTTTGTTGAAGATAAGCATTATCCAGTTAACTTGCTAGGTACCGTATCAGTCAGCTCTTTCAGTATTTGGCTTTGTGTCAGGGGTGGTTGACGGTGTCGCGGGTCATTCCACAGTCTGCAAAGTTGACGTTCTCGGCAACGGAGCGACCCAGTAGGCAATTGATCACCGATAAATATACTGTCATTGGTATCACGGTGCACCACAATGGCATATGGTGTGAATATCATAATGTTATTCTGCAGCGAGTCCTTGTCGTGTAGCTTGCGAAAGTTATTGCATACGGTCATTACGTGCATAATGCATAGTACTGTCTGTACACTCAAGTTTCAAGTCCAGTCCATTTTTTGGAAAAAATGGGCTGGACACTAACGAGGGCCTGGTGACGTGTTCATAGGGCTGAGTTGTGCCAAATGGTGCCATTGGCTGGGAGTGAAAGCCTTGCCCCACGCCTGCACCCTAAAAAATGTTTCGAAAATACTCAAATTCGACGACGGCTGAGAATCTAGGAAGATGCCGGACCACAGCGAAACAAGTCATCTGGCTGAAAAACGGAATACAGTCAGACCTCGCTTATCCGGTCCTCGTTTATCCGGATCCCTCGCCATCCGGAAGAAAATAGTTGGTTACAAATGTACAGCATATGCCATGCTTACATACAGTATGTGTGTTCGATTATCCGGTTCCCTCGCCTATCCGGATATTTTAGTGGAAAACGGATGTGTGCGGTTATGCGAGGTCTGACTGTACACCATTGCGTTGCCACGGCTAAGCGCAATTTTTAGGCTCACCACACAGGTAGCGAAATGCCAAAACAAACGAGCCATAGACACACAACCATTTTCCAAAATTGTCCACCATTGAGAATGCGACTCAAAAAGTAACCGCAAACTGCCCAGTTTGGAAAATGAAAAGTCAACTTTTAGACGACTTTTTTGAATCTGGCGCACGGACTGAACAAATGTATGCGAAGTGTATCGGGGGATGCATGCAGGGCGCGCGATAGTGCGGGTTCGAATCCCAGGTTATGTCTTAAAAAAAAGGATTTTTTAAAAGAATTTATAACATCCCTATGCTTTTTTTTGTCTAGGTCATCAAGGCAAAAAAAGCATAGCGTAGGGCCCTGAGCTTCCAAGCTCTCTCGTTTGATTGATTTTCCACAGGCAAATAAATGCATATCACGGAAGACCTCACACTCACTTGCGATATCGGTGCAGACTCCATCCACCATTAGCACTACTTCCGAGGCCGGCACTGGCAAAGGTTTCCTCTTAGTTCTCTGCAAGGCTGGACAATCCTGCAATACAGCAGATGTTCAAGACACATCAACGGCTCAAGACAGCAACTACAGTTGCGCTCGGTGAAATCTGACCCAAAGTGCAAAACCTGGCGCCCTGTACCAGTTCCGATGACATCATTGTAGTTGTACATGTACATGTGTGTACGTCCAGCGGCATTCGCGCCACTTCCAGGGCGCCAAGGGCCGTGCGAATGGAGGGCGCCCGATGTGCACTCTTGGTCGGATTTTACCGAGCGCAACTGCACCATGCACTACGCTTGCATATGCACAGTTACACGAGTATACATGCACGTGCACATGTACAAACGTTGGTTCCAACAGACCGATTTTGACGATCTTGGCCTCGTTGAAAAGCTCTTGAAGAGAGGATGGCGGTGAACCTAAATTCACCAATACGGTGTATTCGTTTGTGCCAAAAAGAATACAGTGAGATGTGTCCTTTTCCGTAGTAATACCACCCAATAAGGTATCCGTGTCACCTGTAGAAATATTCCCAGACCCGCTACCCTGTACTGAATAAAGCGCTTCCCGGCACATTCCCGGCACAGCTCAACACTTCCCGGCACAGCTCAACTAACTAACACCTTGACTCCTTGACTTATTCCGTGGTGTGATTGTGGAGCGGGTTGGGCGAGAAATCTACACCCAGTGCTGGACAACGGGAGCTCAGCGCAAGTTACTCTGTGCTCGCACTACGTAGGTGCTGTGTCCATAATGCAGGGCTACATGTAGATGGGCAACTGCGAGAAAGGTTCAAACGCTGTGTACTGGCATTCACTACAGTCATGTACATTCGTCGCCAAAGAAATCCGGGGGTCAATGCTGTACATGGTAGCGTAACACATGCACTGCCACTGCACATACTTATCAAGGATCATGTGCGTGGCTGCATAGTCAGAGCAGTGCTGATAGATCTACCAGCACTGCACATACCTATCGTGTGCGTGCCTGCATAGTCAGAGCAGTGCTGGTAGATCTACAGCAAACACTGGGAAAAGCATGCACGCTACCATGTGGCACCACCGTGTTCGCGTACCATACCACTGTATCGGCATTGGCCAGAGTTTTTCCGGCAAAGACTGTACATGTAGTAGCAGCTGGCTTTAACCCGCAGTGCAGCACATCAGCACAAGATCACACAGCCATACAAGGCTCGCATTGTCCGTTCCCAGGTGAAGACGCGGCGGTGCTCTAGCGAGATTACACGACACTCCCGTGACCGCTTCCCAGGGCGAATCCAGCGCCAGCGATAGGGTCACCCATCCCACCCGCGCTACAGACAATTTCTCTCTACAGTTCCAGACAACAGTCAAGTGAGATTCAAGTCGACAGGAAAAGCACAAGCTCCCACGTAGGGAGCGACGCACAATTCCCCAAGTATCGCCCAAGTCACACCAACCTCTTCTTCACATAGTTCCAGACAAGCCACGCTTACTTCTACACATACAGAGTACTGTTTGAGCACACATGACGAGGAGATAAGTTAGAATGGGCCAACTTGTCCACAATCTACACGTATCACCAATATCCCTTCCCCACCACCATCAGAACAAAATACCAAATTCTCACACCAGTCCTGAAGTCATGCAATGTGCAACAATATTGTCTTTCCACCTACCTCGCGGACGTGACCTTCAGAACGACAAGCGTGGCAAAATGAAGGCAGTTTCTGTGAGGCAAATACGATTGCAAGCACACATGCCCGAGTAAAGTAAAGTAAGTAAAAAAGTTTGCACGTCCGCGTTACCACCGGCTATACAATTGCGTTGAGAAACACAACCAGCTTAGAAAGTTTCGCATGTGCCAGGCCACCACCATGCCTGTGCTACCAGGGTGGCAGATGCAGCACCTAATGGCGAGGGTGAGGTGGCAAGTCTCACAACCAATGCCCGACAAGGGGGCTAACCTCGTTAGCTGCTTCCGTGTTACCCTCACTCCGAGTAGTGAGTACCCAGTTGACCGTGGGTGTCGGCGCAGTTCACTGCATGTAAAGTGGTTCATGCATGCATCACCGCATTTGCTAGCACAGTACACGCTCCCTGCTCCCAGCGCGGGTCTTGAACTCGGGACCTTGTGATTCGCAGGCAAGCCCACAACCACTCGGCCAAAGCGCTGGTGCCCGAATGCATCACACAAATGCATGCACACGCGGACACGCGCATACACACAGAAACGCATAGATACATACCTCCCCCCCCCCCCCCACACACACACACATCACACACCACACACACACACACACACACACACCACACCGCACACACAAACAAACACACACACACACACTACACACTACACACGCACACAAACACACATATACACACGCACACACACCACACACGCACGCACGCACGCACACACACACGCACGCACGCACACACACACACACACACACACACACACACACACACACACAAACACACATATACACACACAAACACAAACACACACACACAAACACACAAACACACGTATACACACAAACACACACAAACACACATATACACACAAACACACAGGAAAACTCACAAAGCTCAGAGTTCCTATATAAGCAGGGCTGCCATGTTATCAATCAAAGAAATTTTCAATCAAGGCCCAACCCTCCAACACTATGGTCTCCGCCGTAGCTTATCATGCACAAACACAAACACGCACACACACGCACACACACGCACACACACACACACACACCCAAGCACACACATAAACACACGCACACACGTGCACACCGATCAAGACGGGCAGCTACTCACCGTCGTCCGGTCCCGGCTACTGTCTGCCTTGAGTCTGTACAGCGCCCGTGTCGGTGCAGACGCAGCCCCTTCAGCATCAGGACCCTGAAGATCAGCTGCAGAACTCTGCACATCCACCGTCGTAGCACCAGCAACAGCATCACTCGAAGCAGAGCCAACCTGGGGCTCAATGCCGAGGTCGGTGGGCTGGTCAGAATCACCGTCAGCGTCTTCAACACCCTGCTGGCGCTTCTGTTCGTTCGTGGCGTCCGCTTGCCTAAGCGCCAATGTGTTATACTCTGCCTTGCAGCATGTTGCATAGTCACTGGCCCATGACAGCCAGCATTCCTCAGCACGTTCAACTGTCTGCGGGCGGTGTTTCGGCAAGCCTGGCGACACTGTCAGGTAGATAGTCGGAGAGACAGGCTGATCGACAAGCAAGTAGCAAGAACAGTGGCACGCACGTGTGTGTGTGTGTGTGTGTGTGTGTGTGTGTGTGTGTGTGTGTGTGTGTGTGTGTGTGTGTGTGTGTGTGTGTCTGTGTGTGTCTGTGTGTGTGTGACCGCGGGCGGGCGGGCTCGGGTGTGTGCGTGTGTACTGGATCTAGCATGCCTCGACAGCACTGTTGCATACCGTTCGTAGTGGATGGGATCTCTTCTCCATGTGACCATAGTGCATCTATCAACGACTACAGTTTACTCTCGATATGTCACGCATTTCCAAGTCACGCACTCACAATAAGCCGGGCACGTTTGCCATCCGGACAACATGTACTGTATCCCTCGGAGTATAACTGTATAAGGCGTACTGAAGTACAATCAGCGCCTGCATTTTTTTGTCACAAAATACAGACATCTACCATCTACCGTAGTTCCGCGCATGGGCTTATATGCGAAATATCCATGTTCGTTTTTTAGCCCATGGGCCAATATTCGAATTTTGAAGGTTCACGAAAAAGTACACGTCTGTGCTCATAGTGGGTCTACCATACTCTACTGGTAAACTGCACTGACCTGCTGTACCATGGTAGGAAGAGTCCACATTGTGAAAAATTCTTGTTGACACGCGAGTTGCATTTGTGTCTGTTCATAAGCCCATGGGCTTATAAACGGAGGTGGGCTTATATCCGGGTATAGGCCCGTGGGCTTATATGCGCGGAATAACGGTATATCACCATTCATTCACTGATTTTTTTTGGGGGGGGGGGGGGGGGTGAATTACGGGTGTTTAAAGTGCGGCTCATACTCTGGAAAATCCGGTACTTTTGTACAGTGTACTTCGAAGTATGTGCTGTAAGAGTTGACAGTGTGACGAGTCTATTAAAAGTTATACAATTTGCAAAACTTTCCCACTCGGCGGGCACAAAGTTTACCGACCCTGCCATCGCACATACATCTGTTTCTCTAGTACAGGGGAGAGAAGGAATAACATACGCGTAACGTTTCTTGAGTTAGCGATGGATTTTTTGATTTGTTTTCTCGTGGAAACGTTAGACTTTGCGCCCCGTTAGAGATGCAACTCTTACAGTAGGTCACGCACTCGCGATAAGTCACGCATTCTTGTCTTCAAGGGCGAACAACTTATCGAGAGTAGACCGTACGTGCACCTCACACGCACAATCTTGCACAATCTACTCAGCAAACATCAGCAGCAGGCAAGCATACTGACTGTAACTGTAATCTGTGACACAAACAAGACACACTCAGAGCACGTACTGGCTGGCGAGAGGACGTACAACTTGACATCTGCTTCTTTCGCAGCTTCTACAGTAGCACACAGAATGCACACAAATCACACATAAATGTTAGGAGAGTGTGCAGCATGGTGGCCCCTTGGAAAAAGGCGTGGGATTCCATTTTAGCACGGTGACGAGGACGGATGGCCGGAACTACAACAGTGTAACACATAGTAGGTCGAGTGAGATTCAGTGATGCATCTCTCTTACTCACTCACTCACTCACTCGCTCGCTCACTCTGTCTGTCTGTCCGTCCGTCCGTCCGTCTGTCTGTCTGTCTGTCTGTCTGTCTGTCTCCCCCTCCCAGCCCATTCCAACGAAGTTCCTATTTTACTTACATATATGTGTACGATATGTTGCATATGATCTGCATGCCCAAGTGCAAAGGAAAATGCATATTCGCATCTACAGACAAGGATGCAGTTTACAGGGTTATGGGCCGTTACACGCCCGATTGGTTGAGGGACTCACCTCCTCTCCCCTGACTCACTTGTGAGGTCTGCATTCGCCACTAAGGTGTAAAGGCATAGTGGTGGCCTGCGGAAGCGAAGGCTATAGCTTGTGTGTTTCTGAACATTCAAGTGATGCTAACGCGGATCCCGCGAATATTATATTATACAGACAAAATACTGACGCACCTTCCTCTGCTGCGTATTTCGCCTCTCTCCGCTCGCGTTTGGTTTTATGCCCCTCCAAGCGTCCCTGCTCTTTCTTCACATTCTTGCTGGCGTATGTGGCATGGAACAGCTCCTCCTTGCGCTTGAACTCGTCGAGGTTAGACGGTGGCGTGGAGTAGTACTCAAGTGTTTTGTACAGGCTGCCCAGAAAGGCTGAAAATGCTGCACACAAAACAGCAGCAGGCAGTACACCGCGACACAATCATATTATTGGCATGCACTGTAGTCACCAGACACACGACAACATGGCACTGCATACGGGTGGTGCACAGCATGCATTGTACGGCCAATGTGATCGCTTGCACCTTGAAAAACAGGAGTTAGTCATAACTCGTAGCATGTTGTCCTTCCTTTTTTATACATGCATATTTACACACTCCACACTTGCCTTGTACCCCCACACCAACACACACACACACACACACACACACACACACACACACACACACACACACCAACACACACACACACACACACACACACACACACACACACACACACACACACACACACACACACACACACACACATCAACTCAATCATGAGTGTCTCACGCCCACTTTGCCCTTGATGAAATGCTCACTTACATTGTTATGTCTTATGTCTTAGTGCTAGCTTGTACTTGTTGCATGCTACATGTAGTAGCGTGAATTATGTCCCTGTACTGTCTTATATCAACCAACTCTGTATCTTCTCCTGTATCCCTGATGATGCCCTCCTGGGTGAAAATGTGGAACAATATTATTACTTTACGTGGTGTGGCCAAGGACTGTTCGTGTGTTGCAAATTGGAGGTGAAGTAAAATATGCACATTTACCCAGATACTGTAATTTCACAAATGTTCGGTGTACTTTTATTTTCGGTACTTTCGGTGCGTCTGTTTCATACCTAAAATTTCAATACACCGAACAAACACTAACACACATAATCAAATAGGGAACTGCTTCTCTGTAACGAAAATTTCTGTTCACCTAACCTGGCCTGTTGCCCTCATAACGAAACTATTGAGCACCGAAAATTTATGAAACTAGAGTAATTAGAAGTCCTATTGTGGATTTCGGTGATCAAATTAAACCAGATATACATATGCAAGACTACTGCTATGAAAATAAGCGTGATTTACGACACCTTATTCTTGCTATGTGCTCCACAAAATTAGCTATGTTTTAAGCCAAGATGCTACGATAGAAAAGGTGCTGTTTGGTCATGGAGATACAGTAAGTGATTTCCTTTGCCGGAGCATTGTACACCGGAATATACCCCCTCCCCCCCCCCCCCCCCCCCCACCCGGACTAAAATTGGATACAGTAGACTTTGCACCGGGCTGTCGCACATCTATCACATGACCATACAGGGCGGCCATGTTGGTTCCAACTCCACTCAACTTCTTCACCAATGGGTCATATGTCGGCCATGTTGGTTGGTTCCAACTCCACTCAACTTCAGGGCTCACAGCAACTATGCCTGAAGAGCGATTACGTGGGAGGACATCTTGGAAACTGATCACTATAGAAACAACCTCACGCGACCTCGCACGTGCCGCTTTGAGAAGCGCGTCCGCGACAGCCCACACGACAGGGAGCTTGCGCTGGCCTAGCTGGGGCAGTCTTTTGTGCTGGCTTCACAGCCCAGTCACGTACCTGCCGCGTTCAGAAGAAAGGACAAGCGGTGCGTGCAGTAGCGGCTACAAGACGTACATGTAGATCGTGTCAACCTCCAACAGTCCAAGCTAAAAATCAAAAACCGAAGTAGATCGTCTTGCCGAGGTGACTTTCAGCTATATCGACCATGCCGACGCTGCGGGGAAGGGTCTTCTTAGTTCTGTTGAGCATGCGTCTGATGCGGTATGTCGTGCTTGTTCATTTTTTCAGGCGACGGTAGGGACTAAAGCGCATCCTCTGTGCTATAAAATGAAACCAAGAAAGACCGCCTCCGCGTGATTGTTGTTTCGCCTACATCGGTACATCGACGCTGCGGTGGAAGAAGGATACTTAGATTTTTTAGCCTACGATGTGCTTTGCTTTTTGCATCTATTTTCAGAGCGTGGGCGTGACAGAGCGCCTTCTGGTGTCCTTCGCCCTGGTTTTTTTTGTTTTCAGGCGACCTACTCACTAGTCGACCGCGTCTACCTCAGCCCTTTATAAAAGCAAACCAAGATGTTTTCATGGCTAGATGTACCGCTACGGTCGAAGAGTCTTTTCTTGGTCCTCATTTTCTTCCTGTTCAGCCTTCCTTTCCGCTCTGTTTTGGTTTTTATTGGTGCCCCTCTTGCTATTCGTATTCGTACTTTCTGTTGTCGAGGCAACAAACTGAGGCATTTTAAACCCACAGTAAACCAAGTATGCCGCCGCGGCGGCGGCCATCAGAGACTTTGGACTATGATAAGGTTAAGTCCAAAAAGAGGAAGCCCAACCCAAGCCGCTTTGGTGGTGGCACGTGGAAGAAAAAAGCAGCTGTTGCGGAAGCCCCCAAGGTCGGCAGTGCCAGAGAGGTAAATCAATCCGTTTGCATTGACATTATGGTAATAATGCACCAGACAATTGCAAGAAGACGTACAACATCATCATGATAATACATATGAGAAGGTGTAGGAAAGAAACCAGACCCACCCATAATACTTTCGCTTCCACAACTGATATTTACTTCCTGTAGGCGGGCACTGGTCACCACCACACAGCGGGTTCGGTTGCAGATGCTGCAAGTGAACAGCGCACACACTCGGACCCTGCCTCTACCATACCAGAGTACCTCGCAGACCTTTCTGATGTGCCGGATGACTCGGTCGAACTCACTTCTTATTCAACGCTGGAGGCGGGACAAGACATTGCTCGAACCGGAGATGCTCAAAAGGTAAGAGTCGCCCCTCTTCAATGCAGAAGTTTATATATAAACCAGCACCCTCTAGCTATAAATCGGCACAACTCTCAGTAACCAAAAATGTCCTCTTCACGCACAATGCAGAAGTAAATCAGATTTATTTATCCAACAGAATTATTTCCGTAACACTGATGGTGGTGGATTATAAAGGGACCACTATAGTTCATGATGCAGACTGTATCTGATCAGGGTGTTGCCACTAAGTATAAACTATTTACCTATTGTTTTCCATGTACAACTGCAGGTGAGCAGTGCAGGAGTCGCGTCCGCCTCTGGGGTACAGCACACCACACCCGCACTATTCAGCAGCAGCAGCACAGCTTCCACTGCTACACACACCGTTCCTCCGGCCGCTGCACACACCGTTCCTCCCACTGTTGAAGACACGATTCCTCTTGCACATGCAGGTACTGCAGCTACTCTGTTACGCACTGCATCGCTCGCTGACGACCCCAATACACAGGCTATGGAATCACTCCAACGTGAAAATGAGCGGATAAGACAAATGCTTAAGATAGCAGAGATAAAATGTGAAGCCCAGAAACAAAAGCTGAAGGAGCAAGCAAATGCACTGCGAGGAGTAAGTAGCGCACATACTAAGCTGCAACAAAAACCAAAAAAGAAACTAGACAAGAGCGATGAGCCCACAACGAGTACAACGGTAAAGTGTGCACTAGTGCCCGGTACCAAGCCTGAGTAAACACAAGCATTCATGGCACGTGCCAGGTTCATGAAGTTTGCCTGCATCATGAGCAACCAGAAATCTGCCATGGCGGTGTTCCTATCTCATTATCTACTGACTGAGCAATCTCCACCACCAGGATTTGGAACAACCATCTCACCATCCACGTTGGCGGAATGGAACGTACTTCTCGGAGAAGTCGACAAAGCCCTGCTCCGTGAGAAACTACAAGGAAGCCGCTACAAGGTTCATGTTTTTGCTGACGACAGCAATAATCAAGGCGAAGACCGGCACATGGTTGGCGTACACACATGGTGTGAAACGAGCGACTGCCCGGTCGGGTACGTGTTGGCGAATACCCTTGTGCAGTCCGGTAGTGGAGCGAACCAGGCATCCGTGGATTATCACGTGTTGCAAAACATATATGGTGTGGCAGAGGTATGCGGAGTCGTGGGAGACAATGCGTCTACCCAGTCAGGCAGCAGGAAAGGCCATGCAGCTGAGCTTGGTGTGCTTTTTAAAAGCAACACCACATTTATTGGCTGCTACCCCCACATCCTCAACATTGCCCCACATCCTCAACATAGCCCTCCGTAATGCTATGTCCGATGGCTTTGGACAGCGTGGCAGCATGATGAGCTTCAACCTGTTCCAGCTCCAGCACAAGGTTGGGTATGTACACCACCAGAAGCCAACCTACTACAAGGCACTGTACGTCAGCGAGGGAGTTTTGCCAAGAGCACCTCCACTTCCACAGGAGTTTGTGGAAACTCGCTGGACGTACATCCATGCAAACTTGGAGTGGTGGGAGAAATACGGCAAGGCATGTCTGCAGCTTGGCAAGCGCATCCTGAGATTCCTTCCAAAGAAAGAATCCCACTTTTCTATCTGGGAGGATATCATCCGAATGGCCTCTAATGAGGTTATTGTTGTCGAGCGGACAATCTTGCTCGAACTACTGAACAGGCTCATCATGCCTGGCCTCCAGAAGTGCCAGAGCGGCGATGATGAGCTGCAATTCAGCTCTGGCTACCTAGCAAGAACGTGGCCATCGTATGTAATCAGAGACATGCGGATGGCTGAGCTGATGCGTCGTCACAGCGACTACGCCATGCCTCTGACAGCTGAAGCCAAGGCCAAGCTGGAGCCAGAAACCGCCACACACTTCGCCACACATGTTCAAGAACCCATGCTGGATGCTGTTCTTGCTTCATTCGACAAACACTCCACTAGGTGGCTTCGCTTTCCTCTGCTTTTCGCCATGGGTGCTGATACAGCCCATAGGCATCTGTTCTGGCGTGCGTATCTCCGGGTACGCGCTATTCCTGTCCAGATTACCACTTTCACTGAAGGCGCACCACCAACTGTCTCCGATGAGCAAGGACCAGCAAAGTATGACCAGTTATTGCAGCTCGCCCTAACTTTGAAGTGTCCGAAGAAGCTGGCTGCAAGCTGCTACGAACAGAACCTGCTCGACCAGAAGGCACATCTTCTTGGGCAGGCGACCATGTCCTGGTTTGAGGAGTTTTCTATCCTTGGACTGGTCGCTGGGCAGGTCAAGGACCTCGACACCTGGCTCACCAGATGGCCACTGCCCGCTGACGCTTTGCCGGAGGCAGTTTGCCTTGCACACAAGACAGGTCCGTCATGTCCTTGCAAAGACAGTGAGCCTCATTTGTGGAGCTGGTTTGCGACCTATATATTCGCAATGCCTGTCAACAATGTGATTGCCGAACGGCAGTTCAACATCGCGGATATTTACATCCATCCGAACGAGAGCGAACTGTCAAAGCAGGCAAGCCACTTGTTCGTGGAGAATGTGCTGCACTCCACACCTGCTCGCCTCCACCTGTATCAGTCCATGTCAGCAAGTAGCCGAAAGTCCGTCCGAGTCACGCAAAATGTCATGGAGCATGTTGCAAGGCAGATGAGTGAGTATGCTGCCACTGTAACGCCTGAGCGAGTCAAGAAAGCCAGAGCACAGGTGAAGCTTCTACAAGCCAAACAGTCGACTGCCCGTACCCTCACCGCTGCTGAAACATACAGCGGTACGCGGTGTTTTGTCCAGGCATCGCGCCCGGTCAGCTGATGAGCACGAGCGGAGAATGGCTGCCTTGCAAGAAGAAGGCATGAGGCATGGTGTGGCCCATGATCCAGGCTCACGGAGATCCGCAGCAATCCAGGAGAGGGCACCGGCACGAAGTTTCCCAGCAACTACGGCAAGCAGTACGAGTACAGTTAGTGAAACTGAAGTCAGTGAAGAGCAGAGCTAGCTTCATGTGAGAGCCGCGCACAGCTTTTCTTTCTTTCTTGTGCAGAACACAAAAATAGCTGTCGTGAGGTCGCGCTCAGCGCGCGGAAGCAAGACGATCTTTGCCATTCAAAATGTTCGTTTGTACCCGTTTCTTTGTCGATTTGGACAGTTGATGGCTTAAAATTTTTGTTTTGATCTTGCCGAGAAATTGTCCGAGCCATATTTTCCGTTTTGGCCCCTCATTCAACATCAAGTGCGGCAGAAGCGCACACACTTTTCACTCTCCCGTAATATTGAAACCCGGTCGAATTTAAAAAAAAAAACGCTCGGACAAATCCTTACAATGGGTATTGAGAGTATGTTCCTAGCTTTTCAAAGGTCTAGCTGAAAGCACTAGTACAAATGAACATTTTGAATGCACCCCACTTTCAAGGCTTTCTGCGATATCTGCCTGAGTGCATGTATACGATTCTGGCATGCTGGCTGGCTTGCGTGATGCTCGCGTGACAGGGCCCTGTCCAAAATGGCGCCCACGCTTTTGTGTGATGCTGTGAGCCCTGAACTTCTTCACCAATGGGTCATATGTCGGCCATGTTGGTTGGTTCCAACTCCACTCAACTTCTTCACCAATGGGTCATATGTCGGCCATGTTGGTTCCAACTCCACTCAACTTCTTCAACTATGGGTTATATATCGGCCATGTTGGTTCCACTGTCCACATGCCATGATCACTATGTACACTAAATGTAGTCACATGACAAAGATGTGAAGCCACTTTATCCAGAGTATGGTATTATACAATATACCGGGGGGGTTAGCTTGAAGTAGTACGCCCAGATGCACACCACACTAAGACACACAAGATGAACAAGCAAACAAACCCGCAGCATGAGCAGCCAATCTCCAGTATTGCAGAGAAAATCTGCAGCCGCTGGACCTTGGCGACTGGCGAGAGTGGACACTCACAACATACCTGATGGGAACGACATCTTGCCGGTCATATTCCTGCTGGGATGTATTGGGTCTAGAAGATCCATCCAAGAACATAACATGTAAGACAATTTATAAGAGATAGACCGGGAAAACACAGTCATGTTACAAGTGCTACAGGTCAGACTGCATTATGTTCTAAGTTGCAGCTAGAAGCTAGCCTTGGTAACCATTCTAGGACTGTACACGTGCTGCAGCTATTCTACAAACTGTGCGCATTGCCGAAGATGCTGCTGCTACAGACTGTACATGATAAAGAGCAGATATGATTTCAATTGATTTGCGAGAGATTTCAGGAAAAATAGACTTATAGCGTGCAGCGAAAAGCCTGAGTGAGGCTTCATTCCGCTAGCCAGGCACAATACACTGCACAGAACGTACCTTCCACTGCCAAACGTCGCAGATGAAAGTTTTTCTCCTCGCGCGACGCTGGGTTCAGGGTGCGGATGGAGATGACCGCATCTTGAAGGAAGGGCGGGTCACAGTAGAGTCTGGAAAATCCAACACACGTTCGATACACACCAAGCTGGCTTAGGATTCATAGAATATATACAAAAGACAGAACTGCAGGCACTGCATCAATCCAACCCAAGGATGAGAAGTTGAGAACCATAACCAACAATCAAACCAGTCTCAACATCAATGTATGCTCTGACCGGTAACAAAAGCAATCACCGGCAGATAGAACACTATGTACGAATCGCAGGCTCCTATTTCAGTCTTTTTATCCTGAATATTTCTTTGCAAATCAATACACGATCTCAACGACCTAGTATCCTACTGTCCACTGTTCATTCTCATGCTGGTTGTGCTGTATGTGCTGTACGCGTAACAGCAAAACATTGTATTCACTTCAAACCGGTGTAGGGCAGCGTGCTGTGACAGTAGGTGACGGCATGTGTTCACTTCAGACCAGTGTAGGGCATGCCGTATGGCTGTGCAGCCACAGTACCCTAATTTCCTGCAAGAAAATTAGTAGCAACTACAGTCGCCCCTCCTTCAAATCCAGCAACTTCATAAACCAGCACCCTCAATAAACCAGCAAAATTGTCAGTCACCACACTCTTCGGGTAGAAGTGTAGGTTGGTAGAAGGTGTTGGTGTGCGTAGAAGGTGGAGTGGCGTAATGGAAGTGTCGGGTTTATCAACCCGACACTTCCATTACGCCACTCCACCTTCTACGCACATTAACACCTTCTACCAACCTACACTTCTACCCGAAGGGTGTACCCCCTTCCCACCTGTATCGACCCGCACCTAACCTTCACCATTAACTTAGATACATGTATTTCCCACCTTCACCTTCTCACCTCATCTCACCACCATCACTCCCTATTAACCCGTGCCACCACCCAAAGCCCTCCATTCTTTATCCACTGACGATGTTGTTCAGAACAACGAAACGTCTGGAGAAGTATCGTAAATATTTCTATCGTTATTAAATTTTATCAAATATACCACTCTTTGGTCTAGAAAGAATACTTTTTTGATATTACAATGAGAGTGAATAATCAACGGCTTGTCCACCAACTCTTAGTCACCACACTGTCCCCTTCATGCACATTACAGCAGTAAATCAGATTCGCTCATCCAGCACCCTTTCTAATCCAGCAGAATTTCTCCAGCACCAATGGTGCTTGATTATAATGGGACCACTGTACTCGTGTCTAGATCAATTCGTCACAAGTGCTGCTGGACGTTGGTTCCGCTGAAGTGCAGTGTAAGCGAGTCGCCACAGGCTGGATAGTTTATATCTTGCATTCAAAATCACACGTCAGCCCCTACCCGTACCTCTCTAGACTAGCACACGTCTATTGCTGGCAAAGAAATATCGGCTGGCAGACAGCTGTGTCACAACTGCAATGCTTGCCTGGCCTTACCTGAACACGCCCAGCCAGAGTTCACTCAATGGCATGGTGTTCTCAGTCCTCCACGCGCTATTCTGTGAGAACAACAACAGCACACATTGGACAAGAAAATTACCGTATTTTCCCGAGTACAAGCTGCACTGGTAAGTTGCACCCAGATTTTTTTGCCACAAAATACAGCCCCCCCCCCCCCCCCTGTATGTCACTGTTCATTTGAGCATCGTAGTATAAGCCGCACTGACTTTTTTTGGAATGAACTACGCGTGTTTAAAGTGCGGCTTGTAGTTGTACTCCGGAAAATACGGTACTACAGATTCTCGACAGCTCCCCAAGAAACAGTGTTTCCCCTCCACCTGTGCTGGCCAACACATGCATATAGCGGCCAGGAGCCCAGGGTTTCGCGCAGATGTGTGAGCATGAAATTTACAGTACGTGTCCAGCACCATCTCAAAGTGCTACATCTGGATTTCACTACATGTATGAGCACACCGGTAACTACAGTCAAACCTCTTTAGGACGAACACCAAGGGACCGGTGATATTTGTTCGCAATAACGGGAGTTCTTCTTATCCGTATTTATACCCAGTGAATACACTGTAATCTATCCAATGCAGCTATGAATACTAGTTCTTCAAAAGCAAAAGTTTGTCTTATCAGTGTTCTTCTTAACGACGTTTCACTGTATTATTATTATGAGCACACCTACTACTACTGCCAGTCGCTATAATTCAAGACTGTTCAAGCGTCCCTCCCTTTAACGAGAACTGCCGCACCATGCCTGATCAACACTCGCCAAGCTAGCATTCACAAGCACCAGTAAGGGATTTCTCAAAACAGGCCAGTACTGCAATAGTCCCCCAAAGATCAGATAGCACAACATACATGTCCACAGTACTTACAATCCAGTCTATGTCACTGGGATACCAGTCTTCATTGTCCTCGCCTGGATGCTCTGGGCTAGTCCTCCCAAGCTGCACACATAGCAGCACACAGCAACACGCACAAGACGAGGATCATGCAACCGTTAGGCAGTTCAATAGCCAGCTGAATCATCTTTCCGAGATTTCTTCTCTCCGCTCTCCCGAGGGGATCCACAATACCAATTTCCGGCAGCTTGTAAGTTGTACTATTAAGTACAGTACAGACCCCGGGACCTACTGGTTGAGGGTGACATCATTAGTGCTGGGTCTGTGTGTGCGGCTTTGGAAGGCCGACACTACAACCGTGCTGTTAAGGCGCTCATACTTGTGACTGATGAGCTTGAGCATGCACGGTGGCAAGTATTTGAGGAGTGGCTTTCCACAACTGATGGCACCCGTGTCGCTTCACCCAGTCTTGCTGATTAGAAGAGCCAGCTTCACAAGGTGCGCAAGACCCATCATCTGAAACTGTGGAATGTCTCACCGACATAGTGCAGCTATGTTCGTATGGTGCGAGAACCTGGTGACACTTAGCATGTTCTTGTGTGGAGGTTAACTGGGCACGGATCGACTGTACAACGTGTGTACAATGTATGTGTCGTATGACCTACAAACAGGACACCACCGCCACAAAACGACCACGAAAGGACGAGGTGGTGAGTCGCTTTCGCGGTACATTACGGAATACACGTTGCATTGGCTTACCTCATGCAGCACAGGCAGAACAGGTGGGTTGCATCGCTGCAAGGCATACACAGCCAGCATGGGGTACGCTTGAAGCGGCAGTGTGCAGCCCTCCTCATTGACAAAATCGCAGACCTGCAAGCCAATAAAATGAGCACAAATTGATATCCAGCCACAATACACCACTGATGAGCATGACATGACAACAACAAAGTCATTGGTTTCAAAGAAGGGGTGGTCGACTTACAACCGGGGTTCAACCGCTACTGATCATACTGACACTGAACCGGTAAAGGCCTGAAGTATTAGGAGTTGACTTATAACCGGTAAATACGCCAATCAATTGCAAATCAATTTTAACATTGGCATCGACTGTTTATTGAACGTGGCAAAACGTGACAAACATGATATTGTATGGGTGCGGGATGGTATTGAGCAATAGACACACATTCCACTCCTGCTGTTTTAAGCAGGACAGTCAATCATACACTAAGAAAGCAGGAGCGGGACTTCACACACAGCTTCATATCTTATGAGAAGCAGCAAGCCACTGGGCCACACGCTCGCAAGCTGCTACCATTCACAGCATCGCTTATCAATTAATACCATTTCAGTCAACCTTGGCCATCATCAGAGAATTAATACTCGATCTCCGGATAGCGCTAGCTGTTTCAAACTTGCTAGATCTCGTCAGCCGAGCTCAGAATTAATATCCATGTTGGTTCGAACAATGTCCAGGAATCATTTATTTTAAACTAGTCTCAGTTAGTCACCGTTGCCAGTATATCAGAACTAACCGTTGCCCAATGGCACAGCAGAGTAGCAATCTGTTGGAAGCGCACATCCAGCTTGGCATACACAGCAATCAGATTCGACAGCCGCCAGTTCTGCAAAGGATCAACAGGAAGCACAAGAACATGTGATGCCAGAGTCACTACAGGATAAAGAGAGCAGCAAATACAGCATCACTCTCCACGCCAGGAAAGTCACAAGGGCGTATCCACATCACCATAAGCTTCATTCCTGTTTGATGAATGTGTGTAGTTGTGCCTGCAGAGTATTCTGCTATAGGCCTGACAGTTCTGCTGAAACGGACAGGTCACAGTCCACATGCCTACAACTCAGACAGGGTAACAGAGCAAATCCCTGGCACAACAGTGACAGTAGTGCAAGTACAGGTAAAACAGTCATTGTGTCAGCGATCGACCATGGGACTCTTAACTGCTGCACATTACCACTTTCAACTTTACTTATCCGGTTACAAGAAAGTGGTAGCATGCACAAGATGCAGTGATTCATCACAAGAAAGCCTTAAGCACAAGCATGAATACAAGCGTTGCCAATAGCTAAGACTGAGACATGCACGTGGGAAGAGATGCACTCACGATATCCTCATTTAGGTACACCTCAAAACGCAAGCCTCTGTAGGAACAGAACAGAACAGAACAGCAGAGTATGGTAGATTGCAGTCATCTCTATCCTGCTGAAGCTAGATATGCACGGGCACTGCTCTCAGCAGCAGACTACTAACAAACAAACAAAAAACCTTACAGAACAATAAAGAACAATCTATCGTAAAATGCACGCATATCCGGGCACAACAAAGGTTAAGAATCACACAAATCTAATCAACCCTCGCTATTAACTATTACAACTATTGTAATTATAAGATTATATCTCACCAGAGACTCTGACATGCAATTCACACTGCCCACCAGCACTTGGAACAGGCACAAATAAATTCCAAGGTATACTCAAACGGCAAACACCATCACAAATCGAACAAGGTCTCAGCAGTCTAGAAATGTCTGTTTCCCACCAAAACTTCTTTATTACCTCAAGTTGCATGTTGCACTGACCCTCACATGCAGTGGGCCTTACACATCAAACGGAACGTGCATTGGATGATACACTTCTCGATATACCGTATACCATGTATGCTTGCATGCAGTGCTCTACCTATCTACAAGTGCAACATGCCGTATTTTCTCTAATAAGAGCCCGGGGTTCTTATTTTTTCAGTGACAGCTCTATCCGCGCTACTATTAGAGACTGGGCTACTATCAGAGGCTGGGCTCTTATTTTTTCAATTGTCAACTATCAAGCCAACTCCAGTCTATACAGGCATAAACTGACCATATCAAGACTGATTTTTCAACCCTAAACTCAGGAATATTGTCAAAGAGTTGGTGGACATTTCTTTACCCACTGACGATGTTGTTCAGAACAACGAAACGTCTGGAGAAGTATCGTAAATATTTCTATCGTTATTAAATTTTATCAAATATACCACTCCTTGGTCTAGAAAGAATACTTTTTTGTACGCTGCTCTGCCTGAATCAGGCATTGAGCACTCTTGCAGAACCAAAGCATATTGCCTCTGTACTTTTTTGATAATATTGTCAAAACAGATGTTTCACAATAGCATTGGCGCCAGGAAGGAAGCAGTAGACCGAAAACCTCCTTACAAATATTATATGTTCTTGGCATGTTGTACTGCTGTTTTATATATGCAGTCAATATACTGGTTGCATACTCCAATTGTGACCCGTGCTACTATTAGAGACTGTGCTCTTATTATTTCAAACCACCTTCACCCCGGGTCATTATTGGAGACTGGGCTATTATTGGAGACCTGGGCTTTTTCAGAACACGGAGGCTCCACTGCAGCCAATTCATATTACTATCAGTCCCCACCACTACACAAAGGTCGTTGACGCTGCAAATTTTATTCAAAAGAAATAGAATCTCCAAATTTTCACCCTTGGGGCTTCCTCAGCGAGTAAAATAATAAAATTTGCAGCGTCAATGACCTTTGTGTAGTGGTGGTGACTGATAGTAATACCTGGGACTGATAGTAATACCTGGGACTGATAGTAATACCTGGGACTGATAGTAATACCTGGGACTGATAGTAATACCTGGGACTGATAGTAATACCTGGGACTGATAGTAATACCTGGGACTGATAGTAATACCTGGGACTGATAGTAATACCTGGGACTGATAGTAATACCTGGGACTGATAGTAATACCTGGGACTGATAGTAATACCTGGGACTGATAGTAATACCTGGGACTGATAGTAATACCTGGGACTGATAGTAATACCTGGGACTGATAGTAATACCTGGGACTGATAGTAATACCTGGGACTGATAGTAATACCTGGGCTTTTATTAGAGAAATTACGGTATGCATGAAACGGTCTACAAGCACAACAGCGGCTGGCATCCCTCTAGCTCTCAAGCATTGGTTAGCATGGTGCACCTTTCCATCACGTTGCACCTTTTTCCCGGTACAACACAGCATAGCTAACCTTGCCATACTTGCTATTACCCTTGTCGCAAACATTGTGCCACTGCCTAGTGCCTAGTGCAGTATTATTGCGCTTTTTCACCAGCTGACAAGGAGAATATCTCCTAGCTTATCAGTTGCTAATCTGTTCCTACCTCTGGAGGTGTATGCACTGTATGCAACCTATTTACTATAGTCTTACGTGTGAAGATGAAGCCCACTGACACTGGCATGTCGCACAAGATAGTCAGTTGTGATATTCGCAACCTCAGCTGGAAAAGATCGCAAAAAAAACAGAAAGGAAAAAGCAAGACCACATGAACATAAACAAGATGTCGGGGGGGGGGGGGTATTGTTGGGGGTATTAATTTATTCCCCACGAGGATTGATATGTAGAGCTGCTGCCATGCTGGTCAGCTCTGGGCTCTCTCCCTTAAAATTGATGGTCACCCAGTGTCTCCAGTTTGTAGTGAAGTAACCTACATGCTGTGTACGCCCCATGTTTGAAATGCTTCTTGTCAGGACTATCTAGTAATGGCGTGTTGGTTCTCATGTGCGCGAGTCGTGCATGCACCACATTGGCGCAGTGAACAGCAGTACATTATGGCTAAGGGCAGAGCGCCCAAGGATTTTATCCCGGACTATGCAGATGTTAGTTCCGACTTTGAGTTTTGGTTGGACGATGTGAACGACTATTTGTCGATCTGTGGCGTGACGAATCACGAAGAAAAAAAGAACTTGTTCCTGAACTTGGCTGGCCTCAACATCCGGAAAGTTGTGAAAGGGCTGGTCATCTCTCCTCAGAGTGACCAAGACGCTTACCAGGCACTGACAAACGCTGTCAAAGCACATTTCAGGCCGTCTGTGAATACCACCTCTGAACACCACAAATTTCGCCAGCAGAAACAGTCACCTGACAAATCTGTTTCGGCCTTCGTTGCCCAACTACGCTTGAGTCAAGTCGAACTTTGCGAGTTTTCTGCCACCACAGTGGATACAGTAGAGAACACGCAGATCCACGATCAATTGATTGTAGGACTGAAGTGCTCCGTAATTCGATGTGAATTGCTAAAGGACTCCAAGCTGACGCTCGCGGATGCAATCTCCAAGTCAAACTCAAGAGGAAGGCGGTAGATAGCGCTAGAAGTGGGAATGGGACGGACACGGTATTCTCACCAATGTTGGAACCCTTCCGGCATCTGAGATACCTGGATAATACGATCGACCCTCGGTCAACTAGGGATTCCGTTGGCGATGAAAATTGCGCAGATGTACATGTAGGAGAGGAATACATGGTTGCTGGGTAGTCTCACCGACTTTCACGACACTGACTTCCTCAGTATGGACCCGGACTGGCTACGGGAGCTGGAACCGGTTGTCAGTGAAGTCCTGAGTCAGTGGTCCCTGAAGGTCAACCCCCGACATAACCGAAACTACAACACTTAACCGGCCACAGGACAGGATCGATGAGTACTGGAGGTCTGCAAAGAATCTTCGGTCATTGCTTGGCGATCTTGAGGATGTTTCAAGGAGGAAGCAGCTAGCAATGGCTGCGTTCAAGTCAACGTGGGCCCTTTGGAAGCTCAGAGAAGCCGCTGGAGAAAAACTGAGACTGCGCCTTTACAACGCCTTTGTTATACCGGTATTAGTGTACAATGCTGGAACGTGGGGCCGAACAGTAGCTGCGGAAAATAGCCTGGACGCTTTTCATAGGGGTCACCTTCGCCCAATACTCGGTATAACCTGGCCACAGAAAATATCAAACCAAGCTCTCTATCAGCGATGTCATGCGGAACCTCTAAGTGCAATAATAAAGCCAGGCCTCACTGGAGTTTGTTCGGCCACATACTCCGCCTCCCGAGCAGCGCTCCAGCCATCTTTTAAAAGCATGATAGCGTACTTTAAGTGCAGCAGCCCCAAGTGGAGAGGAAGACCAAGAACAACCCTGCCTGTGAAGCTGCACGGGGATCTCCAAGCCGCTGAATGCGGGCGATTACGCACACTTCAAGGTCTTGAGATCCTATCCGCAATAGCACATGTGCGCGACGAGTGGCGTCCGTTGAAAGATTCCGTTTGTCGAGCTGGAAAATAACACCTACACCATCGGAGCCACTAACATTATGCAGCAATGCAACGTCAATTCAATTTCTTTATGAATACAACGTCAATTCACAACAATAATATCAACTTACATTTGCAAATTCCTACATGAATAATAAATAATGCTACGAATATCATAGTATAACGTTACAATCACACACAGCCATATCAATCACAGCCATATCAACTGCTGTGAACTACGAGAACACAGAACAATGGAGTTTAGACGAGATTTAGCTCATTTGTGCAATCCAACCCCTTCCTTTTCTGCTCTTTTTCTTCTCTCTTCTCCTAAGTTCTCTTCTTCTGGCCGGCAATCTGGCTTGAGCTGTCCCTTTGTTTTGTTTTGTACTACCTATGTCCAGCATAAGCGAATGTGTGAGCTGAGCAAGTGTCTTCGACACTTGCTTGGCTGACGCAGCCGCCGGAATGCAAACAATAATAATAAGTCTCCCTCAGAAAACAAACTGACTGCTTCGGGCCTATTTTGTTCCTAATGGATCAGCAGCTGCACCTGCTTGCCATTATGAGTACATGGTGGACCCTGAGCAGGTGAACCCCACCCTTTGCTATTAATACTGGCACTGGTATACTGGATAACTGTATTTTCTGACTTCATACTTTTGAAAGTGAATACAAAAGAACCAGAGAACACTTTAAAAAAAGACTTTTAAGTAAAAGTGTCCTCTGATTCACCTTCACTCTGTTTCTGCACAAGCGAGCCTGTGCACCATGCCTGTGCACCATGCCTTTGCATGAACGCGGAAGTCCCCTTATCGTTGTTATCATTTACATGCATCATAATACATGCATCATCAATCAAAAGGAAGAAAAAAACTTTATCGAGATGAGCTAAGGTTTTGATTTGTAGACGAAGCACGGAAGAGATTCATACCACAATAGGACTTACAGCTTGCTTCCAGGATGCCAGGCAAACTCAGGAGAAGACTTGCACCCTGCAAGGTGTCCGTGAGTAAGCAGCAAACAGAGCAAGGAATACGATCCAGTAAAATAATTTCTAAAATAAGTCGACACCTTTTTTAAATACAACACTGAGATGCAGTAGTTTGACAGAATAGCGTTACCGTGGATTCAAGGACGCACCGAAACACCTGGAAACATTGATGAACCGAAATAATAACTCCTTTCTCTCCTCACCACTTTTACTACATTGCAGAACTTAGAAGGTTCTACAAAATTCTGCTGCCTGTGGCCAAATCAGCATTTCACACAATTTTATTAGCTGTCAGCTAGCGCTGCAGCGCTGCATGAGCCTTCCCGGAACAGGCAAGCTACGGTGATGCAACAAAGTCTCTAGCAGCGCAATTGGCACATGGCCCTGTAGTTCACGTTGGAGCAATTACGCAACACAGTATTCACCTCTTTGGTCGTGTCGGCTTTCACGACCATGCGGACCGGTGCGCCAGCCAGACCGCAACCATTGCAAGAGCCAGAGTACATTTGAAAGTCATAATCTGAAGACGAAAGGCAGATCACGAGTATGCACACATGGCACAGATTGAACAGCACATCAGGATTATAACAAGAAACCAGTGCATGAAAGTGCAGTGGCGAGTCCTTCTTCAGCCCCTCAAGAAACGATGTACAATGCACATGCTAAGCTTAAAAGTAGCGGCTATGAGCAGCCATGTGGGCTGTCCCAGGAGGTCCCCCTGATGTTACTTGTCAAATACACACGGTGCATGTACTTCACATTCGTAAACGCTACAACACAAAAGCAGGTTTGGTCATGGCCTGGATGCATACCTGGACAGACACTCTGACACAGGTTGCGCAGAGTCTCCAGCACAGCCTGGTGACGAGGCAGGTCTTTCTCCACAGAAACCAGCTCATAATCCTGCAGCAGTCCCCGCTCAATCTCCGACAGCTGAAAGCGGTCTGGTTGGGGAAGTGATGAGATAGAGCTGGCCCTGGCATATGCCTGACAGACAGCACATCACACAGAAACCAGCGCAGACACCAGCACAATGTACATGAACTCAATCTGATGGCAGACAATACACAACACAGATAAAGTGCAGATACCCACACAGTGTACATGAGCTCTACCTGAAAGATCGTTTGAAAAGAATTCCTACTACAAGTATAGCTCGCGTTATTTGGCCCGCGCGATGGAAACCAACACGAGTGATCTGCAGCTCACGTCGAAATTCGGAGTTTTACGCCAAATTTGACGTGAAATTGCGCGTCACGTCGGAAATAACGCGCATCTTAACCTCTCGATTACGGTAACAACTCCTTGGTCAAATTGAATCCGCACTGATATTAGCAAAATAGAGTATTTGATGGGTAGGCCCCTCATGTCACATGTTGGTGTGAATTTTCCGGTACCAGCAGTAGGTCCCTGACCTAGAGGACCCAGTCCAGTAACTACCAGCGGACGTTTCACTCTACGGTGAAGCAAACCACCCAAGTGTATATGGACCCAAACACAAAAACTGGATCCACGTACACTGTATATCCAAAAATGCCGGCGTTGCTATGATTCCGACTTGGCTGGACCTGCCCCCCCCCCCCCCCCCCCCACCCCCACACTCTCTCTCGGAGGTAATATGGCACACACACACACACACACACACACACACACACACACACACACACACACACACACACACACACACACACACACACACACACACACACACACACACACACACACCGACACACACCGACACACACATACACACATGCATGCACACACGCACACACCCATACACACACACACACACACACCGACACACCTCAGACCTCAGACATGTCCATCGCGAAAGGGATGATAGCGAACAGCTATGTTAGACATAGCAACTTGTGCTGGGATTACACCATTCAACAGCTTGCAAGGCTGATGAATTGACCGCCACTATTTTTAGCCTGGTATCCACCACACAGCTGTTTGAAGTGACTTTTTCTGGCCAGTGAATCCCTATTTTTCATTTTTCCATTTTTCATTTTTTTTTTCTACACACACCACATACTCCGGCATACACTGGCTGTTGGTAACCACCCAGGAGAATGAAAGAAAGGTCAGGAAGAGTCCGAGAAAGAGAAGAAAGAAAGACCGACACACACACACACACACACACACACACATACAAACATACACACACACCTTTGTAAAGTCGTCATGTTGGGATCTGGTCAGATGGTCACGCAGTTTTGGAAGATCTCTGAGGTGATAGCTACACACAACACAGAAATACTTGGCGTTGGGCATCAAGGTGCTTGTCTGAACAAAGAGCACAACACAAGTACATGTAGACAATGGACACGGGGTTTAACCAACAAACATTACAGGACCATGATGCACATTAATACATACAAATAGTGTCATGTGTGCAAACAAATACTTGTGCTTCAAGTAATAGCAGTAGTAGCAGCATCAAGCCAAGAAAGAGGAGTGAGGGGGGGGGGTGGAGAGAGAAAGAAAGAGAGAGAGAGAGAGAGAGAGAGAGAGAGAGAGAGAGAGAGAGAGAGAGAGAGAGAGAGAGAGAGAGAGAGAGAGAGAGAGAGAGAGAGAGAGAGAGAGAGAGAGAGAGAGAGAGAGAGAGAGAGAGAGAGAGAGAGAGAGAGAGAGAGAGAGAGAAAGAGAGAAAGCAGCAGATCTTGGCCTGTTTGTGGTGAACAATGTCGGCCATAGAGCGAATGTGCCGGGAAGTTACTTCGAAGTAGGAATAAAGACGTTACCAATGTTGGTCAAATAATAGAACATTAGTACAGTGTGAGTTCTAGGTCATCACCAGACACTGGTGGCGTGAACTTGGACTTTTAAAGATCAGTATTACACTCAGCAGCACAGGAAGGGGCCCAATCCGGCCCAGTAGCCTTAGAATTCCCAGAAAAAAACCTCCAAATGACACTAAGTACCCATACCATGTCCTGCGGTATTCTGAGAATGTAGTTCTTCCGCCTCTCCTCCTCAGTTAGGTCCTTCCGCTTATCTTGCTGCTTCTGCATACGTCGACAAGCAGATTAATTACATTGGATGCCAAATTATAAAACCAAATACATGCACAATCCAAAATATTCTTCAAAAAATATATACTGTAAGAGTTCAATCTCTAGCGGGGCACAAAGTCTAGAGCTTTAACAAGAAAGAATCCATCGCTAACTCAAGAAATGCTACACGTATGTTATTCCTTCTCTCCTCTGTACTGGAGAAATAGAAGACAGACGTGTGCTGGCAGGGTCGTTCAACTTTGTACCAGCTAAGTGGGAAATTCTTGCAAATCGTTAAACTTTGGACTCATCGCACTTTCAACTCTTACAGTACTCGTCATCAATCTGTAAAAGGTATACCATGGTATACCTGTATGCAGTACGCCAGTACTGAACGCAGACTGGACTTCATATTCACGAAGCCAATCGGCTGTCGAATGGTAGTCCAAACACGCCGAACATCACATGCTTTTATCTCGCTGCAAACAGCTCTGTCACATCTTGCCAAGCCACCTTCTCTCGTCATCACCATCAGTTCGTGCATTGAGCCTCGCGCTTCGGCGTGTTTTGACCTCCATTTGACGGATATGCGTGTGGAGTCTTCCAACTAGTACTATTCAAAAGCCTATCGTACACAACGTAGCACATTACACGAGTGGGGCATAGTGGGCGGAAAGTTTTCCTGACGCCAATCAACGTCCTACTCATACAGCACATAGCATGCCATGCTGGCAGTCTACTGAAGCCTCTCAGCATACACGTGCATTAAACGCCGCTGGTAATAGGGTATGCTCCTTTGAGAAATTTCAATCCTGCTGCAAAAGGCGGCCATACTACAAACACACAACTAGCCTGAACGGTGCAACAGGTAACTGTTTAGAGCAACGGGAGTGGAGTAACCAAGACATCTCCAACTCTAACACATTAACGCACACGAACTATGCAGCAGTATGGGCAGTAATTTTCATATGATGTGCAATGCATGCTAGCAAATTACCTTGTTGGCTCTTTCTGACTGTTTACTAGGACTTCTTTCATGCTGCACATTGCCTTGTCTCCGTTCAGTTGCCAAGTGAGGATTCCGTGAATGGTGCTGCGGTTGCATCAGCTGCTGGTGCTGCTGAGAATGAGGGTATTGTTGCTGCTGCTGCTGCGGCTGCTGTTTCATCTTATCCGTACCCGACCTTGTGGCCTGATGTGTGTGGGGCTCAGTGTTGGCACGGACAACTCCTCTTGGCTGAGATGTGCGTGAGGCCACACCACCATCAGGGTCAAGCACACCCGCCTTACTGGCTTGGTCCTGGGCACGCGGTGGCGCATCTGCTTTGCTACTGCCTTGTTCAGCAGATGTTGGGGCGCGAACAACAGGTGTCCGCGTGGCACGTACAGCATCTGGGGTCTTCGGAGTTGGCCCTTGCTTCTTCTTACTCTTTACAAGGGGCATGGTGCTGGCATGACCTTGCTGCGCATGTGAAGTGTGGGCCCTGACAATACCACTGCTTTGTTCTCCAGCTGTCGTCGATGAATGAGGAGAGTGACCAACAGGTGCCTTGTACATGTCTGGCATGGAGACAGGAATGCGACCAGGAGCCTTCATTCCTGAGCCACCCTGTCCTCCGGTCCCTTTGGCGAATGGCGCTGCTGTTGTGGCTTCCGCCTTGGCAGCTGACCGCGCATTCAGAGCAGACACTCCCTGAGAACCAGGCTGCTGTAGTGCACGCCCAATCGACTGCAAACCTTGAGGCGCAATGCGACTGGGCGCAGCTCTTTCATCGTGAGCTGCCTTGCTATGATCTCCTTCACTGCTATCACGCACTCGCTGGCCACTTGAAGGACCCGATCCACGTCTAGCTAGGGGTTGCGCTTCTGCAACCTTCTGGCCCTTTTTCCCTTTTGATTCTTGGCGCTGTTTTGACCGGGGTGATGCGGTATGCGAAGGGTGCTGCTGATCTCTTTCTCCATGTCGTTTGCCACTCCGATGGGCAGCAGCAGTGGCATCATGTGACGCACTGACCTGATCACTAGCTGGAATGGATGAGTCATGACTACTTCCTGAGGCTGAACTACGTCTTGGCCTCTCCCCACCCGAACCGTGAGCTCGCCCCGAATGTGCTTTCGGTTTACCGCCAGTTGCCGCTGCCTCATCAGTGCGCTCAGCATCACTAGAACGTGCGCCGCTACCTGAGCGTTGTCTACCCCGACGGCCACGTTCAGGTTTCGAACTGGGGGCTTTCCCCTCCATACTGGCGAAGACTACAACACTCTTTGGCCAGGTTGAACACAGATATTCACATGTGTTTTCGCTGCTTTTCAGTTGCTGGGAGCGCTACAGGTGTTAGAAGTACTCGTTAAATACGCACTACGGCCCAATAAACTCCTTCGACATGTACTGGTCCCGTAGCATGGAGCTGTTGTGGAAAGTTTCCAACTCCAACAGCTATCCAAATGTGGAATAAAAAAACTTGAATAGTCCCTGCTCACAGCACTCAAAAGCTATGGAGATGATACACCGATAAAACTGTGCGGACCTAATGAAATAGATGAAGAGAGGCACGGTCGGCACAGCAAACACATAATTATTTTCCTAGAGGAGAACGTCTTCCACTAACACTCAGCTGAGAAAATATTCAAATCTTTCGAAAGTCTTTCGAGCTGAAACAAACAGCTGGCACTGTGTCACATGAGCTAATCATTTTTAGTTCAAACCACAGATCGTTTACGTCGTTGCTTTTATTTTATTTTTTTGTGTCGATATGCAGCGTACCGACGCCATGGCCGGTACGACATACAAGTCATCATGATAATCACCAAGACAACAATTTAGCCGGAAAGCGCTGTTTTCTGTTTCTGCAAAGTTCAAGAAACAATTTTGAAAAGTACAATTCCCTGATCTCAATAAGTATTGTGCTTGTACACTGCCCGGTGAGGACCAGTGTTGTGAGAAGATGGCCACTGACGACAAGGCGAAACAAGACCTTGGTCTCCTCGAAGAGGATGATGAGTTTGAAGAGTTTCCTGTGGAAGGTGTGTGCGTAATGAAAGTGGATGAGTTTCGTTTTCGTGAAAATAAATATTGTGTACTACCATATCCAACTTACTTCAATCTTGTTGCAGACTGGACTGCTGCAGATGAGGATCAAAGTGATGCCCACGTGTGGGAAGATGATTGGGACGATACCAATGTAGAAGATACGTTTTCAAACCAACTCAGGTAGAGAAATATTCACTCTTTTTCTTTTCCATTTTTCAACCTTAGAGCATGATTGTGCTAGTGGTAACAGCAATGTGTGTGCTGCTGCTGCTGTTGTTGTGGTTGTCATCGTTTTCATGAAATAAGCTACATTGAGTTTGTGCTTTGAGCTTCAGCCATGCTTGACCTGTCCATGCTCCAGGAACAGTAGTCGAAGTTATCATGCATAAGAGAGAACCTAGTGTTTGGAGCTCGTATATACACACACACACGCGCACTGTGTGTATCCGTGTTGTGCAGGACTGGAAATTGAATAGGGTCCATCAGTAGCCAACGTAACACTGGGCTCAAATCCGGGAGTGCGTGTACTTCACCGAGTGGGACCTGCGTTTCCAGGTTGTGTTGTGCGTGCACGAATCTTGACTTGATGATGCCGCTAGTGCTTTACGGTATGCACAAAATCAATAGGGCTTGAAGGTGCTGCATCGCTGCCAATCCAAAGTCATGACAATGCTGACTTTCGGAATCAGTTTTAACCCTTTACCTTCTGTGTGTACATGAATCGACCGAATTTGGTCGATGGACATGCATGCACTAAAACATTCGTAACTTGATCAATTCTTGACGGAATCTCAAGAACTAAATATATAGGAAGAAGCCGAAGAGCCCAGCTGTTCATTGCAACAATCGGCGAAGAGCTGCGATGCCGCATTCCAAAGATATCGCGCTCGACATTTCAGTCACGGCGAAAGTCGATTTTTTTCTGAGTGACTGGCCTTGAGCTGGGGATTTTCCCTCTCCTGACATGCTGAGTCACCTGTGCATGTTTTGAGCGCGTGGGCAGCATAAAAAGAAACCCAGGACATCAAATTTGAAATGTTTACGATGAAGGAGTGAGAAATGGCTGACGAGGAGAGAATTTTCTCGGATACCCAGCGATGGGGAGTATTTGAAGCACCCTGGCGTTGGATATGTGATCTCAGTAGTGTCCAGTTTGAGCTCATTGTACGCAGCTCGTGAAGAGCTTTCCAGAATGCCCAAGAGTGTGAAAATCGGTTGATTATAACCAAAGATATTCTTAGAATGAGGTGAGAAATATCGTATTTGGAGCTGCCTGGGAATTATGGTCAGAAGGTAAAGCGTTAAAGGGGAAGTATACCCTAAAATCAAATTTTCACCAGTTGTAGTCTTCTGGGTGCTGAGTCGACTGGTCTTGGTCCGAGGAAGCTGAGACGCTCCCTTCCTTCTTTTTTCCCAATCGAACCCGCGCACTTCCACCGAAACTGGGTGACTGCGCCCTACTAGATGGGGATTTGTATGCAAAATCTCACTAAAAGTGCTATGTTCTTATAAAAGCATGGATGACCGCGATTGGCCCATATGTTGTAGTCTTTTGGACGCTGCGTCGACTGGTTGTGGTCCGAAAAGGCTGCGATGCAGCGTTACTCCTTTATTCCCAATCGAACATGGTTGAACAAGCGGTCACGTGCTCCTGGGTGCCCAAATCACCTGGTCACCGCGCCAGCAGGCGACAACTTTCACACCAAGGTTCAACTCGAGTTCAACTCGAGTGACAGGACTGCACCCAAAAAAGGTGAAACAGGCTAGTAAGTTGTACCCTGCAGGCACGGTGACCAGGTGACTGGTGTACGCAGGAGCACGTGACCGCTTGTTCAACCATGTTCGATTGGGAATAAAGGAGGAACGCTGCATCGCAGCCTTTTCGGACCAAAACCAGTCGACTCAACGTCCAAAAGACTACAACATATGGGCCAATGGCGGTCATCCGTGCTTTTATAAGAACGAAATGGCGCTTTTAGTGACATTTTGCATACAAATCCCCATCTAGTAGGGCGCAGTCACCCAGTTTCGGTGGAAGTGCGCGAGTTCGATTGGGATTCAAGTAGGAAGGGAGCGTCTCAGCTTCCTCGGACCAAGACCATTCGACTCAGCACCCCGAAGACTACAACTGATGAAAATTTGATTTTAGGGTATACATGTACTTCCCCTTTAACTTTTTGTATGGATCCATGCACGTAGGGGTGGTTGCCTTCTCAGTATGGTGACCCGGCCTCTGCTGCTACTGACTAGCAGAATGTTAGCATAATGTACAGTCTTAATTAGTGTTGAAACGATCTCACCGGATACTCGTTAGCTCGCTCGCCAGAAACTCGGCTCGTTTGTGCGGCCAGCTCGTTTGCACTAACGAACACCGTACACCGTACTCCGTACACATGGCAATACATGTCGACCGGGGAGTCGTAAAATATTTTACGACTCCCTGGTCGATCGAGAGTCCAGTCCCGCGCATAGTGAAAATCACTCGCAGTTACAGGTACTGTATGCCTGCACGACACTTGAGTTGTTTCAGTTGTCGTTGCAGCTTTGGTGGACTCTACTGATGTCCTGTTCCGCATCTGCTGACCTGTCGCAGGATATGCTTCAGTCACCTCTCCATTCGAGTGAAAGTTACGCTCAGTCGTTTGGAAGTTTTCTTCCGCTATGCAGCGAAGACCAGGGCTACTTGCAATCTTTGCAAAACGGTCTATTCTTACAAAGGCTAATCCACGACGGCGCTGAAAAGACATCTCGACACCAAACAGCAGTCCGAAGTGAAGCAGCAGCAAACCCAAAAGCCGGCGGTGATGATTTGAACCAGCTGAAAAAAATCGAACTTAGAAAAAAAATTATTCAAAAAAATAATCATATTTGCCACATCAATGAAACTCGTTAGATCGCTCGATAGCTTGCTCGTTAGTGGAACTGATCGCTCGTTTGTTATAGATACGCTCGTTTCAACACTAGTCTTAATGAACACTTCAGAACTTGTCTTAAACATGAGGGCTCTGTCGAATGGTCTTTTCTGAGGTAACACGTCCGATGTATGCACAAATGAGTACTTTCCATACTTGGGAATGTGAATTGATGGTGTACTTGCACCAATGAAGTTAGAAGTAAAGTTCCACTGGTGAAATCCTGCCCAATGTGCATATCTGGTGCCCTCAACTTGCACCGCCCTTGATGCCCTGCAAGTGGTACGAATGCGGCTGGACGTACTCATGTACAAGTACAGTGATGTAATCAGAACTGGTCCAGGGCACCAGCTTTGCACTTTGGGTCGCATTTCACCAAGCACTGTACATCATTCTCTGAGCGCCAAGTTGAATTGCCTTGCTTCTATTAGGTAATGTTTCAGCGTTTCCCATGGCCCAAGTGAATGCATTCAAGAGTCTGCTAATTTGCACTGAAACTCTATCGATGTTTTTCAGGGAAGGCGCTAATAAATTGTAAACTCATATTCAGGAGTAAAGACCGAGTTTTCTTTGACCAAATTTGAATTGGAATCTCACGAAGGGTACACATTGTCATCCAAAGACAAATCAGCTCATCACTCAGAAGACTGATAGTTTGGATAATTTGAATTCGGATTACTTCTGAAGTGTTTTTATCGTACATGTACCGCCGCTTAAGCCGGATGCATACTTCATCCCGCGTACGGGAAACCCATCGTGCGACCATCGCGCGATGGGTTTCCCGTACGCGAAATAGTCGAGCTCAGATCAACTTTTTCGCGACGCGTTTCCCGTACGCGACATGAAGTATGAATCGGGCTTTATCCCTGGCTAATTCGGTTCATGGCAGAGCCTCCCTCCCTCTCGTTCCAGTCATTCAGCGTATGTGAAGCTGTGGATTCAGCAGCCCGCTCATTCACGTCAGCGCGAACATACAAACAAATAAAACAATCTCAATATTGAAAGAGAGAAAGAGGAGGGAGGAACCAGCTTAGTGGTAAATTTGTTATTAAATTTGTGGCCGACGAACATTGCTCTCAGTGATCGAAAAAACCTGATAAGGTGTTGCACGACCTGGCGATTGTTGGGAGGTTGACATCGCGTATGACCATGACTGCGACAGAACAGACTGAAGTGTGCCCTGTGTCTTGGGTACCAGATTACTAGTAGTGCTCTGTTGCTTTGGCCGTATTTCATGTTTGTGTTTTACCAGAATTTTGCTGGAGCTGTATGTGGGCTAACGTTATTCCTTGCTCTCGAATGTGGGCTAACGTTGTTCCTTGCACTCGAATGTGGACTGTGTTGCTTCTCTGAACTGCAGGGCTGAACTTGAAAAGCACAGTCAGAAGGCATAGTCTATCTCCGCCACCGCCGCCATCATCTCCAGACACATAAATATATTCTGACATGAAATGCATTTAGCTGGCAGTTTGCGCTGCCTTCTCTCATTCAAATTCTCTTTTTTTTTTTTACCAGCCATGCTATCTGTACATAAGCCATCATCACCCGCTCACTGGTTTAAGTGGTTTTCCTGCATCATCTTGTCACTGAGTGTATAGCAGCCTCCTGCATGCATGTTGTTTTCTCAGTTCTCGTCGTACTGCATACCGGTACTCATGTTGATGTTGTGTTATATACGTGTACACGTAGATCATAGTGCAGGGGTTTGATTTGAAATTCAAGATCGATAGAATGTATTGCAAATATGGGCATATAGCCCTCTCTGAACTACTTGTGTGCAAAGATGTGCTGGTGTGCTTATCTATGTGTGGTGATGACCCAGAACTCTTTTGCCGTGTTGATAAAAATTGACTCCAGGTGTGAGGAGTGCTGTGTCTTGACCAGGGAGTAGTACAATACAGTATTGTACTACTCCCTGGTCTTGACCATGCACGATGCTGATGAATCAGAATGTGTTCAAGGTCCTGTATGCAGTATGCCTGCTAACCTGCCAAATAACCATGCCTCTTTGACTAGATACCGACCGGTATTGTGGACATGCAGTACCGAGAGTCTTTGGACTCTTGTAGTAACTACTCATATAGACATGCACATCCAGAATCCTGGCCCCCTGCTGCTATGCAGAAATCAACCGTACGATCATACCATGGATAATATTCTGGATACGCCTGTCTTTTTAGCACAAGGGATCACCGGTGGTGTGCGACACAGATCGACGGTATATAGTTCCAAGCTGGGAGTAGTACAATACAATATCATGGCATTGTACTACAGTACTCCCCGGTTCCAAGACTCAAAAGGGAAGGCCTCGAGGGCTGGATGAACAATGCCAGGAAAGCAGGGTTTATTCGGGTAGAACAAGTCACGCAGTGGATTCACGGCAGACACATGAGAGAGCGCGAGCGAGCGTAAAGAGTCGGTATGCCACGCTCAAAACAACAACATGATAAAAAAAAGTAACAATAGCTTTGGCAGGTAAAGTAACCGCATAGAAAGGGCACTGCCACTAGTGGCACAATATCAAACTGTGAATATCTCACTAAAACTAAAATCTGGCCTGGCAAAGCAGAACAAGTAATATAGAATGTGGTAAATAGGCCTTGGGTCATTGAGTAATAGACAAGATATGTACGAGAAGGAGAAAAAACTCAAAATCTTCGATATGAGAGAAACTGATAAAGAAAAGAAAAGGGATCGATGGGTGGAATGAGCGGGGCCAGGAAGATCAGAAATCGAAGTCAAAACCCAACACGGAGATGCACTACATCCGCGACCGGGGCACAGAGTGTGACGCCGCTTGTCAGAACTGGATGGACTCCTGAACTTCATGCAATGTCTTGGCGCTCTTGAGGACATTGGCGCGCTCTTCCTCAGTCAGACTCTGTACAACCATACGGTCGAGACCTTGACGTCCCAGGACGCACGGAACACTCAGAAACACGTCGTCTTCCACGCCATGAAGGCCCTGAGTTGACACATTGAAACAGCCAACATGGCACGGCATGATCAGATTCACAAACTGGCTGCTCAAACCAAAACGGAACAATGAAAAATGTCCTGGCAAGAGATTGCTCTAAATTTGCTCCAATTTCCCACCGGTTGACGAGGAATCTTAAAGAGAGTACCAGATAAGCGGTGTCAGACTGCAAAATAATAATTATAAAGACCGATTCATATTTCATTTTGCGTACGGGAAAGTCATCCCGCGATTGTCGCGCAATGGGCCAAAATAGTTGAGCTGAAGTCAACTTTTTCGCTAAAAAGTAGCAGGGTTGTCGGGGGACTGGTGCGGCCAAAGCCACACCAATAATTCAATCGTGTGACTCTTAAAGCAATTAAATATGGGCTAGTTGGGCCCAATTTTCCAAAAATATTTCCCGGGGACAGCCCACCTCTTCGTGGCCGCACCAATGTGGAATACCCTCCGACCTCCCTGATAGTCAGTCGTGGCCGCACCACTGTGGAATACCCTCCGACCTCCCTGATAGTCAGATACTGTAAAAAATTAAAAAATTTAAACTGTTTTACTTCAGCTTGAGTAGCCCCACTACCTACTGTTGTAGACATAGAAATCCGGTCGCACGTCTAGCGGCCCCAGGGCGCTAGCCATGTGTCTAGCGGGCCCAGGGCGCAAGACGTGCAGCCGTGGATAAGCGGTACACACATGCATTTTATGCGCTGCAGCGCGTTGGCCGCATCGGTTCAATTATGTGCACTGCACGCAGCATTCTGTACGCGCTGAGGGCGCCGGCCCCGGTCAATCGACTGGATTTCCATGTCTGCTACAGTAGTTGTCACAGGCCCATCTGCAGTCAGACCTCGCTTATTCGGTCCTCTTTCACTCAGGTACCTCACTGACAGGAGGGAAGTCCATCAGGAGCAAATTTTACAACAAACACATTGCCTGCGAACAAAAGCTTTCGGTTATCCGGCTCCTCACCTATCTGTCTTGTGTGCGCTTTTACTGACCTTTACTGCAAATGTACATATGCTACATGTAGTAGCTAAAGAATCACATGCCCAGTTTGGTACTGGTGACAAACATCAAATATTGTATCACAATGATATCACAATCACATTTGCATAGCCGTCTTTCTTGCCTACCTTGACGAGTGTGGAGATGGCGACCACTTTCTTCTCGTTGCGGAAGATACACTGCGTCAGGTTGGCAACGCTCAAACCGATCGCCCAGCATGTATAGCCCTTCAGTCTGATCACCTCATAGGCACTGAACGGGAACAGTACAGATACACACCATTGTAGACAAGAAACATCTTCACGACCCTACAGGCTACAGTGCACGCAAACCAGTGTGGTGTACTGCAGAATGTTGCAAGTTGATAATACAGTGGTCCCTCTATAATCCGGCACCATTTGTGCCACGAAAATCTGCTGGATTAGGGAGGGTGCTGGATTAACAAATCTGATTTACTTCTGCAATGTACATGAAGAGGACATTTTGGCTACTGAAAATTGTGCTGGTTTATCGAGGGTGCTGGATTATAAAGTGCCGGATTAGAGAGGGACGACTGTATAGGGAGTGGGTGGCTGGGAATAGGAAACAACATTCATCTTGGAGGCTATCAACTACAGGTGAGAGCACATGTCCGGTAAACGCAGTGAGAGTAGTACATGTATGACTGCTTACCACAATGGCACAATTACGATCGCATGCATAACTCACCCATCCACCACCTGCTTGTGAGATTCGATCCACTTCTCGGGATCATCGGGAGTGCCAAACGTCGGACAGACCTGCTTGAAGGGAACACCAGCGACATTGACCCCGCTCCAGACGGGCACTGCAAAACAGCACACATACAGATTACCCACATGCATGACCCCCCCCCCCCCCCCCCCCCCCACACACACACATACACACCTCCCTCCCCTATTAACTAGATCATTGATAAATTGGAAGAAGAAAAAAAGATAGCACCAGCCGTTCAAGCCTGCACACATGACTTGCAAAATTTATTACAGTTGAGTTCCGCTTCTTCTACCTATGCAAGGCATGTGCTTGAAATGGAACTCTTGGTGGGCTGTTGAGTGATGGCGTGTATATTGTGCACTTGGAATATGGGTCTCGCTCACACTTCGTGGCGGTCCTATTAGTGTTGCTTGCAAGTTGCAACGCAGGCTTTTGACTGGCTCTCGGGGTCGGGTCATGTCACATGCATGTACAGCAGGTATCATACAATCCGGGAGGGAAAGTATACTTACCACTGCTGTCTCCATGCTCGCCGATCACCCAGCCATGCACACTGCTAGGGGCCACGTCCAAGCGCTCGGCCAGCAGCACTCTGAAGCGAGACGAGTCCAGATTGGTGCCACTGCCGAACACTCGGTGTGCGGGCAGGCCGCTCAGTTTCCACGTCACGTACGTCAGCACATCCACTGCCAGGGCAATAACACACACACACACGCATGCACATACACACACACGTAACACACACGCACACACACACACACGCACACACACACACACACACACACACACACACACACACACACGAGTCGTGAGAAAAGGAACGACACAATGTGCACCAGCATCACAAATCCACATTAACCAAACTAGGGCGCACTGGTTAGCAAACTTAGCATACTTGCAAACTAAATACTGCAAACATACTGCATAGCACTGGTAAACACAAAGCCAAGGGGATCTATCAAGAGGCCGCTTTATGGTTTCACAGAAAAGGCCTATAGCAATAGCACGTACTCTGCTGGTACGGAGAGTACGTTTCGTGTAGGACGTGCACATACGCTCTGATTTTCCGCACAGTAATTTCTCAAAAGTGGCCTTGAGTACGTTCTCAGCAGCGTAGCGGGCCAATTTCCGATGAACAGACAGTAGGGCCTGGTCAGACCGCAGCAAAATATAATAATCATGGGATGGATGAGCATTCCGTAAACATTATTCGTTCAACGCGTACGTACCTGGATTGGAGACGACCAGGAATAAGGTATCCGGGCTCAACTCAACCAGCTTAGGAATGAGAGCTGAACAGGATGAAACAAACAGGCAACAGTAGATCAAACTTAGCACACAGATCACATCAAGTGAGAGCACCAGGCCACTGTAAGTCATGACTTGATTGTGCAGCTTCAGGCAATACACCTCATTCTGGGATCACGTTAGCCAGCAAGACTCTACAGCTCCACTATTGCACACAGCCTCAGCATGTATGCTGTATCACATGACCACAATCAGCATTAATATGGAGTACTCACACTTGTAGATGTTGACATTCCTCTGCACGAGACTCAGACGGGGCTCTCCCTCTCTCTGCCGCACACCGGCAGTGATGATGACCAAGTCTGACCCGGCGCTGGACTCTGGGCCGGGGCTGCCCGTGACCTTCACGGGGCTAGTGAAGACCATGCCATGCTGAAGGTCAAGTACTTCGCCTTCCATCTTGGACTTGTCAATGTCCACCAGGGCGAGCTCTGACACCAGGCCCTGAACAGCACGCACGAGTTCACGCAGCAACAAACCAGAGCGGTGCATTTTGTGTAAAACAATTCTTTGCTTACATTGCACATGTACAATGGTACATGTACATGCATGCCATCTGGGTATGCTGATCAATGACGATGTTTCCAGTTGGTGGCCAATGAGACCGGTAAAGCTTGAGTGTGAAAACTGAAGTCACATGGATCCACTATGGGGACATCGTTCCCAAATAACTGTCCAACATAACAACAACACATAGCAAAAGCCAAAAGCCCTCGGCAGAAAAGTGCTCCATCACACTGACAGCCAGGCCGGAGGCGTAACTCATAGCGACACAGATTTGCTCATCTACTTGGATCCGTTTCTATAACATGGATGTTCTAGGACTCTGTACTATATCTAGTACATACACTATTATTGTGAAAGAACCAATCATTTACTTGTTATGCATAGCTGTCCCATCTGATCCTATTACCTGCTGGACAAGGCTGAAAGCACACGCCATTCCAACAGCGCCAACGCCGACAACCGTCACTTTTACCGGCTTGAAGGCAGTTGTGGCCTCCACGGGCCGAAAAAGTTGGCTTGCAAGTGACTCTGAGCAAAGCAAGCAACAGCATGTGCACACACACACACACACACACACACACACACACACACACACACACACACACACACATACATACATACACACACAAACACACACATACATACACACATACATACATACATACATACATACACACACAAACACACACATACAGTGGAACTTCAGAATAACTTATGTCCAGGGGAGACAAACATCAATCCTTATAGCCAAGGTAATATATATCCGGGACAATTGATTGCTACATGTATGTACTATATACACTAGATTGCATGGTCCTCAAAAGTAGTGTCGTGTCTGGGTGTTGCCATCTCAGTATCGGTGTTTCTGCTCCAATCAGGTGTTAGCCGTGGTGTCCATGTAATGAGTCTAGTCAATGAATAGCCTTATTGTAGAACCTTAACCATCCATGGTCGTAGCTGGCTGCTCGTTCGCTTCGTTCCCCACGTGCTGCTATGTAGCCCAATGCTTTGCATTGACTGCAGAGTTGTTGTTGTTCTGTTGCTTGCTGTGCTTGCAACTTGGTTCGGACGTGAAGCTTGAGTCCTGTGTGGTGAGGGTGAAGAATGGGTCTCTGGACTCCTGGTATATTTCCATAAAGAACCTAGGAATTGGAAGAACCTGAGAGTATGTCTGGCCCTCTCCTCGGTCATGACAGTAGTACTAGACTTAGGGCTGAAACGATTATATCAATTACTCGGTAATCGATCGAAAATTCCTTAACAATCAAGTAATCTTTTAATAATGCAATGAATAAAACTATATGTGCACTCATATCACAACCATAGGGACGAATAAAGTATTCCAGAACGTTTTCTTGTCATAATTATCAATGGAATTCGTGACTAAAGTCGTAAAGAGAATGATGAAACTACAATAGGATTTATACACTTGGAGTGAAAAACGCGGATACAAGAATAGTAAGAAAAATAGCACAAACTTCGGAAAAATTGCACTGGTAATAAAAACTATACAGGTGAGAAATGATAGGAAATTCAGCAAGTGCAGTGTGACAATGTACATGCATGTGCAAGTGTGTGTGAGTGCGAATTTACTGGAAGAGTGTAAGTGGGGTGACATTTTCTTTTAGTTTACAAAGATTTGGAGCACGAATGCGAATGTAGACTGCTTCGAGAACTTTCAACTGCTATTCTTGTATCCGCGTTTTTCACTCCAAATGTATAAATCCTATTGTAGTTTCATCATTCTCTTTAGTCACGAATTCGTTATAGATTACTCGTATTAAAGGCATTTTGAGTCCAAAAAGTACTGAAACCCTTTTTGTGAAGTTTGATCAGTTTCCGCTGTGCCCGTAGCTCCATGCAAACAGAGTTGCACCTTTTCTGAATATACAAATATATTTAACAAACACTATAATTGGAGGATCAGATTGAGCAAACAAAATTTAGCACAACCTCAAGAAACTTTGATGAAAATGAATGCAATAGTACGAATACACAACATGCATCACCGCGATATTTTTACATCGATAGTATCAAAATAAAGCAACCAGGCAATCTTCCGAGAAAGCCAGTCAACAACAAAACTAACCTGCCATGTTGTCTGGGAGTGCTAGTTCGTTGGGCAGCGAAAGAAGGACGACTTCTTTGTCGTGCGTTTGTCCTGACACACTGTCACTACCTGAATTTCTCTGTAGGTCGACACAGTTATCATGGTTATATTTCTTTACTTGTCATTGGAAGTTAGCTCGGTCACTTCTTCGACCTTCTTTGACAACTATTATGTAATGGTAGAGTTCTTGTCCATGAAAGGATTTCGACATTTCCGGAGAGGACATTCACGTGCAGTAAACGTGCGCACACGTGCCAAAAAATTTAAAAAGCGCACGTGAGTTGCACTGGGAGTCTAGTCTAGTCGTCAAATACCGACTCCCGGGGCGTGGCGCAAGCGTGGTCGACGGTCGACCGGCGCGCGCGGTACGCGGTACGCGTAGTAGATCTACGCGGTAGACCGGTATACGGTACGGTATACCTGGTATACGGTCGATCATTGCATCGGGGAGGGGAACTCCCTATGCAGATGACCTGCTAGCTTCAAAGCTTCATTTTTCTAATTATTTTGACTGACAAGAGTTGTTTTTGTCCGGAGCTATAATTAATTTAAACTGAAAACATCTTTCAAAAACATCCAAGCTGGGTACTTTTCATTGAAATGAAGTGAGGCTTTTTCAAAATACAATGGCTTTCTGTCCGGATGACCCCTGGGTGGACGCTGATGGCTACCAAGACGCGTATGAGGATGATTGGAGCTATGGGGGAGCTGCAGATGAAGATTTGGCTATGCCCGACGGTGACCAGCAGATGGAAGGCGCCAACGGCAAAGCGTCCATGTTCGCAGTGACAGGAAATGCAGAGTGGAGAGGCGAACATTACAGACGTCATAGACGACTGAAAAATCCCTCGGCCTGTGAAGATTTGCGCTTGGCTATTCGCAGTGGCTCGATTGAGGGTGTAGAAGACGTTCTCAATACCTGTGACGGTATGCTTTTAGAGAATAGATGTGTAATAACTGTAAGCATGCAAACACGCATGTTTGAAATCATTCCATCGTGCGATATTAAACATTGCTTGGAAGAATAAATTTACACTTACAATTCACAAACAGCAACAGTGCAACCAGGTCCTTCCTTGCCGTAACTCGGAGGTTCGTGTCTGAAAACACTCTTCAAACAGCAGATGAGTGTTTTCAGAATTGTATTTCTGGCTCTGTCTACTGGACATAGACTATTCACAGCCTACGGATCTTGGACACCTGTCTAAATTTACACTTACATACGTTAACGCAATAAATAGAGTGAGTTGCGCAATGTCAGTGCTCATTCTTGTAGGCAGTATATTCTTTCACACTACCACATTGTAACCAAGAGTAAGTAAGCTCCCAAGAGTGTGCAACTCTAGACACCCTTTCTATGGCGTCAGCCGACGGCAAAACTCACATCGTATGGTGCAATGTTCCCGCTGTACGTTCAATCAGCCCGTTTTTAGCGACCAGCGCGTCCGGAATGCTATTCAACTCCGCTGCAGCGGAGTGCAGCGGAGTTGAAGAATAGCATTCCGGACAGAAACCCACTAAGTTTAGGGGTCGTCGCAAAAGTGTTTTTGTCGTCCCTGGAGCGAGCATCGTTCAGTTCATACTCGGACCCTCCCCTCCCTCTGAAGCGAACGCAGCTTGCTATGCTGGACGACGGAAATCGCATACATGTACGTATGTACAGTGTCGGTCGACTTGTCATTTCGGCTCGCACCTCCATCCCCAAGGAATGATGTTCGTTTCAGGGACGACAAAAAACTTTTGCGACGACCCCTTATGTGAGTAATCAACTGATCATGGCAGATATTCGGACTGAGCGCACGCTAGCCTTCGTTGTATGTAGTCCAAATCGTACTTTGAACACGTGATGTGAGTTTTCGCCGTCGGAGCCTCTGTATGCAGAGTTGCACACTCTTGGGAGCTTATTTACTCTTGATATAACCAGTACACACTGTAAATTTTACTAATTTAGCATCCCATATTTCCAAAAAGACCCAGCAGTGGCGTTGCGTGCGGGACACCAATGGAAGCATTGCGTCCCTGCGCACACGTACCAGGTGGATATAGTCAAAGCATAACGTTACACGTGCGCGATATCCAGCAAGCTGAAAGTAACTTTCACCTTCTCGACCTTTTTGAAATTTTCCATATCACTTTGCAGAGGGTCAACTACAGGCATGACTTGCGTCCATTTTCTGCCGAAACTTCTGAAATTTGAAATTATAAACAAATAACGTATGAGCCAACACGGGACCAACAGCCAAACCTTTACTGGTACTACAGTTCAATCAAACGCCGTTTCAGTCTAGGATGTCGTTCAGGCTGCAGAGCCCCACAATCATTTGTTGGCACATACCAGGAGTATACCGTGTGTGGGTGGACACAAAGGGGGGGGGGGGGGGGGTCATATCCAACAGTATGCAATAAACATGTGTAATCAAAATGGAGTCGCACAGTAACCCTGAACAATGTGCAATTAGCATCTTACGTAACTCCTGGAGGTGACTTGCATTTCTTTTGTGTATGTGGTGTGTGTGTGCGTGTGTGGATGTGTGTGTGTGTGTGTGTGTGTGTGTGCATGCTATATTGAAGATTTTCACGTGGACGATGTACTGCGCAATGGCGTGACTGCACTGTCTACGGCTGCTGATGCTGCGCAGCTAGAAGTAATGAGGCTGCTGTTGCGCTACCGTGCCAATCCAGAGCCGGATCAATGTAAGATGTAAAGTCATGGTAGGAAGACGCATAGTTATCTCACTTAACCGGGCTGTCCGGGACCGGGCACTGTACATACGAAGTACAATGCACGAATCTCTGAATCACATACATGTACATGTACGTTTCGATGGAGAATTGAGAGATCTAGCATATGGCGGCACTATTTTCGTATTTTAAATGTTGGCGTAAAATACTAATATTTCCACTAAAATCTACCGGTAGGGTGCCCAGTAGACCGACCGGATAGGAGAGATATGAGTCTGCCTTTGAAGGGAGGTTTGAGTTGACCTTGGAACGGTGGTTTCTGAATTTACAAGCGCCCAAAGCCATAGGTATAGCCAGTATTGAAGTATCTAGTCAGCGAGCTATGCATCTCTCTCTCTCTCTCTCTCTCTCTCTCTCTCTCTCTCTCTCTCTCTCTCTCTCTCTCTCTCTCTCTCTCTCTCTCTCTCTCTCTCTCTCTCTCTTGTAGAGGTCTCAGTCCTCATTTGTTAGACTTACCTGTCTTTATAAATGTAACTTACTCTCTCTTTTTCTTTCTCTTTCTTTCTCTCTCCACCCCCCCCCCCCCCCCACCCTCCTCACTCCTCTTTCTTGGCTTGATGCTGGTGTTCTTGCATTTGGCTATCTTCTTTGCATGTACTATGCTGCCTTTCAGCTACACAACTTATGAATTGATTATCGTGAGCTTGATGCAGACCAACCTACATTGCATGTTCTCTAAGAATTTGTGTTATAGATGTTCTTATCAGCAAACTACTATTAGAAAGCAATAATCTTCGAGTGAGTTTTCCAGAGTACTTTTCATCCCCTTTCAGCCGTTCAGCCGTTGAACACAAGTTGTGATTGAGTGTTTGTTGCACCTACTAGTATTTTATTTAGTTGATCAACGGCCGCTGACCTGGCATATCTGGCATGAGTGTAACACTGTATTTCTGTACATTTCCTTTTCCTCTTGTTACTTTTCAGCCGGATTTGACTGTTCTCGATTAGCCCTGATAGCAGCATGCAACAGCACGTCCGCTAACCATGCACAGGTCGAGCAGTGCGTCGGACTTCTCATTTCGAGTGACGTTGACGTTAGCAAGTGTGACACGTGAGTTTGCTCAGTCAGTTACTAAACATTTTCCAGCGTGATGGTACGTGGTACTTGGAAAAGACTAACATTTGACTATAGGGGGTTTCAAAAGTTACTATACACCTCTGGTTTCAAAAAGCGGTTAGGCCAGCATCTAAACCACATAAAATCTGTGATGGCTTTTGTGCATAACATTTCTGAAAATGGGTGTTTGTTACCCGATCGCTTAGAAATCTATATGAGAAAAATTGGGAGAATTGCCTAAAGCAATATCCAGAAGAAATTTCTCAAAAGGCTCAAACCAAATTTGTCTAGTTCGAAAAAAATCTAGAGGTCTATACTGCTGGTACGCACTGTAGGCCATTCCTCCTTACCTCTACTTCGTAGTATATTCTAATGCAGGTCTGGTAGAATACCCTTGGAAGGAACATTTGACAAGTCCTGGTGCCTCCTCCCTGGTGCTGATACTGTTATCTTCTTTCTGCAGGAATCTTACTTCACCGCTGATGTACGCTAGCCGCAGTGGGCGCCTTGGTGTAGTGCGACTGCTACTGCAACACGGTGCAGACGTCAACTCTACAGATGGGGACGGCTGGACAGTACGTGCAAATTTATTTTCTTGTGCAGTTAGACAGTTGCGAATGTTTGCTTTTTTTGCACAGAAGTATTTCGGTAGGCCAGGGAACAGGATTACCGAAGATATGATCCTTTGCTCTCAATGTGTATACTGTGTACTGTGAATTTGCTTCAATTGACTTCCTACCAGATTAAACAGGCTCAGCCGGGGCAGATTGAGACCGGTTGAATGAATGCTCGATGCACCAGGGTGCAGAGCAATGTGCACAAGTAAAGGGATGGGAGACGTGATGCTGTTTGGCTGTGACTTCAAGTTCCAAGCACGAAAGCAATCATCAGTGAATTTGTGTGTGTGTGTGTGCATGTGTGTGTGTGTGGATCGTCAGCAATGGAGAGATGCGTACCGCACTCGTGTACAGCGTCCTGCCCCGTTACCGCTCTCTTGCCTGGTATGTAAACGGACATTCAAGAGTAAATCTGGACTCGGACGACACAAATGTTCTGCTGATCGCCAGCTGCCTGTAGCGGAACAGCCGGACGCACGTCAATGCCATGCCTGCCTTCGGTGGTTCCGAAGTGCCGGTGGACTTGCTGTGCACAAGTGCACAACACCCGCCCCGGCATCACCGCCCACACCCCAGCGCATACCAATCACCAGCCATCCGTGTTGCAACCAGCACTGCGCTACCTGTGATCGCTGTTTTAAATCTGCTCCTGGCTTTCGGCGACACAATTGCAATCGTGGACGGCGTCGTGGCGGAGCGGCTTCCTAGTGGCAGTGCTGACTTCTCTCGAACTCTCTCTTCTACTCTCCCCTGTCTCGGGGGCGGCGTGGCCAAGCATTTGGCAGCTGTACACCAGGCCAGGTGTGTGTGTGTGTATGTGTGCATCTGTGTGTCTGTGTGTGTGCGCGCATGCATGTGCGTGTGTGTCCGCGTATTGAAGGGAATCAGACAGGGGAGGTCTAACTGTAATATCAATGCTGTACGGTAGAAGAAGTGTGATCTGTGCTGGCAGTGCCCTTTCGGTTGTGTGCGCCAAGTCTATTGTTTGTCCATGACCGGTCATGCCCTTAGAGATGCACCATAAACGTCTTGTCATGTGGGCGGAGGTGTGGAAACACTGGCAACTGTGGGGCTAGTGTATTGACTGCATAGGACCAGGCTGCATTTACATTCACCGGTCTAATGTTTGTATGCCTTGCTTGTTGTGACCTTTGCCTGTCTAGGCGTTGTGCTTTGCAGCGCATGCTGGACACCTAGAAATAGTGCAAGTGCTTCTGGAAAGTGGAGCTGATCCGAAATCAGCATGTAATGATGGCCAGCTAGCAGAGGATTTGGCGTTTGCTGCTCAACATAGTCAGGTGAGTTCTGTCACTTTGGCAGTCCATGCACAGTCTGCACAGTCTGTTGCTGTGCGTCTGCACGTATGCTGGTCGAGAATGAGCTCTGTCGCTTGCTTTCGCTACTGTACATTACATGCGCGTGACGGGGAGGGGGCGCAAGTGCGCATACACATATCTTTACCGTCCCACAAGTGGACTGACTGTAAACTCATCATGCGTTGCTTATCTACAGGTTACTGATTACCTAACAGCAGTGGTTAGTGGCGCAACACCAGCTGTGCCAGAGAGTTATTCACCGCCTAAACAGAGGTATGTGGTGCTGCACACTGACTGTAGCCATTGGGCAACATGTGGAAAGTCTGTTCATTTAAAAAAAAAAGTAGCAGAGACAGCATGCAGGTGTGAGAGGTGGATGCGTTTACAACTGTGGAGAAGGCATGAAATGTGAAGCAGCATGCGCTGCTCTACCTGTGCAAATGTGCACACCATGTTTATAAGCATCTCAGTTCATTCTCTGTGATTGGGCTGATCTATTATAGTGCGTTTCAAAAGTATAGACCTCTAGACTTTTTCGAATAATTCAAATTTGGTTTGAGCTTTTTGAGAAATTTCTTTGGAATATTGCTCAGGTAGCTCCTGCAATTTTTCTCATATATTTTCTAAGCCATTGGATAACAAACGCCCAATTTCGGAAATTTTATGCACAAAGTGATCACAGATTGTATGTGGTATAGATGCTGGCCTAACGTTTTTTTTTAAACCGGAGGTCTGGATTTTTTAAACGTACTATATTACTGTAAACGCCATTATTTTAACGAGGCGCATATATAACGATTTCCCGAAATTGACTAGTTTACGTGTACCAAAGGTAACGATTTTCACTCATTCTCAATGCTCAATAGGACATTATATGTATCGATTTCTGTATAACGATTTCTATTTTAACGACAGATTTTTCCTCGTTAGAGTTAGCACGTCGTTATTATATATGGCTTTTTTTCAGTAGTTGGTTTTGAGCTTTGTTTACTTGCAGTGCCAAAATTTGCCGTACCTGTGTGTTGTGTGCCAATACTATGGGGGTATTAAAAAACAAAAAAAACAAAACAAAACAAAAAAAGGGGTATCGGGGTATTACGCGGGTGCTGGGCAATGATGCCAGCAAGTCCTTTTGTCATGTACTAGAAACATGATTGTATATGAGTATCTGTGGGGATCGTCAGTGCGCCACATCTCAGTGCCTACGTGTACCATAGCCAATTGAAGGTGTTGTCACTTTTCTTGTTCCTTCTCAGTACATTGGAGGACGACCTAGCGCGGCAAAAAGAGTAAGTGCATATGTAGTGTCTGATGATTGCCCTTTGGCGTGAAACTCGGAGTAGCCAGTTACTAGCAACTAACAACTTGTTCCATTTTCCACTGTGTGTGTGTGTGTTTGTGTGTGTGTGTGTGTGTGTGTGTGTGTGTGTGTGTGTGTGTGTGTGTGTGTGTGTGTCAGCCTTGCAAGCTGTTGAATGGTGTAATCCCAGCACAAGTTGCTATGTCTAACATAGCTGTTCGCTATCATCGCTTCCGCGATGGGCAGGTCTGAGGTGTGTGTGTGTGTGTGTCTGGGGGGGGGGGGGGGATGGCGGTGGTGGTGTATTATTTTGGAGGTCGTTTCTTGTGCTCGTGGTGAATGATTTCGTGAGCCTTTGGGTCAGAGAAATTGTAGTTTGCAGCTGACATCACTTTCTTGTAGCTTTATAGATCGTAAAATAGCAATGAATAAAACCAATTGTGCACTCATAACCATGTATAAAACAATTATTAAAATGAAAAATTCCAGAACGTTTTCTCGTGACTATCAACAGTGGAACATCGCCACATAGTAAGAATCACTAAAGCAACCAGTTATATAGCTGGAATAATATGAGAAGGAGCGTGAGAATGCAGCAGCTCGCGGTTATGCATAATGCGTGTAGTGTGAACTTATTCAGTGGATCTGAGAATGGTAGCAGTAGATGAATGTGGCAGCTGTGTGTACGTGTGGCCAAAATGGTGAGTGTGTATTATTTGAAGAGTGTGCGTGCTACAATATTTTCTTTCTGCTTGCATAGCACGTTATTGTCCACACGCCCACACAGCTGCCACATTCATCTACTGCTACCATTCTCAGATCCACTGCATAAGTTCACACTACACGCATTATGCATAACCGCGAACTGCTGTATTCTCACGCTCCTTCTCATATTATTCTAGTAATATAACTGGTTGTTTTAGTGATTCTTATGTGACGATGTTCCACTGGTGATAGTCACGAGAAAACGTTCTGGAATTTTTCATTTTAAATTTAAATTTTTAATAATTGTTTTATACGTGGTTATGAGAGCACAATTGGTTTTATCAAGAGTCCATAAACAAAAGTATGCAACTGTGATCTCTTTTCTATGGGCCAGATGCGCGGCGCGCTGCCTTCATTACATCATTCAGCTGCAGTCCGTGCACTGCGGAAAATCAAACACCGCACTTTCCCTCTGGTTTGAAATGAACTTTCGTGCAGAACTGGAGTTCACACGCCAGAATTTAGAGATCGCGTAGGTACTGGAACGAATCGAGCAAAAACGGATGGGCTCGTACGAGAAATTGTGAGTTTGAATGCATGCTTTCAGAGCGTAATGAAGGCAGCGCGCCGCGCACTGACCCATAACCACAGTTGCATACTCTTGTTTATGCACTCTTGGTTTTATTCATTGCTATTTTTACGACTGTTGTCTCCTCGTCGGTTATTTATAGATCGTTTTAAAAGAAGTATTCCTCATTGAGGGTTGGCTGACAAACTGGCTGCAGTATGTGATCCTCTATACAGTGAAACCTGTCTAAGACGACCGCTCAAGGGACCTTCAGAACGTGGTCTCTGTTACTGTAAACTGCCTAATGTTCGCTATTTTCGCGAGAAGAGCGTAACGCGAATACTAACCATCGTGAAATCAAAATTCAACAGTGGGTCTATGTGGGTGGCCACAGTGCTTCGCGAAATTTTGCCATCGTAAACTCGCTGGTTCTAAGAAATCGCGAAAATTTAGCGACGCGAATATTGGGCGGTTTACAGTACCAGGTGGTCTCCTTATCCAGGGTCATTAATTTTGACTGGAAATAGCATCCCTTGATCCTTGTGTCAGTGGTCTTCTTGGACAGGTGGTCGCCTTATCCGAGTGGTCGCTTTGACAGGTTTCACTGTATTTGACCTGTAATGATGTCCCACTTGCTTCCATTGTGCATATATGTGTGTGTGTGTGTGCGTGCGTGTGTGTGTGTGTGTGTGTGTGTGTGTGTGTGTGTGTGTGTGTGTGTGTGCAGGGGTGGTATCTATCAGTATGGCGAAGCGGACTCCTTCTTGAATAACCTTTCTTTGTCGCATGTTGCCGAGACACTCAGAGTAAGTTTCCATTGTGCTGATTGGCAGTTTGGTACTGCATCCGCAAGGGTGTCACGGGGCAGTGGGGAGTGGTACGGCCGGGGGTCGGGGTGTCCCCCCGGGTGGAAAATTCGGGTTTTTCGCCCAACAGAGCAAGTTTTAGCGCTCTTTTTTTGTTTTTTGGGATGAAATTGGCGGGCTATCCTGCTGTCCTGGTCGAAACGTGTTACGACCATGGTCGTACTGGTCGTAGTGTGTGTGTGTGTGTGTGTGTGTGTGTGTGTGTGTGTGTGTGTGTGACGCCCCTGACCCGTATGTCGTCTTTCACTGCTCCGCCCCAATGTGTGGCTGTGTCTGCCTGCACTCACATGCTGCATGTAGAAAAACTTTACCTTCATGCCGCTTCGTGCCCAACAATGTCTCATACCCGTCTGTTTTGCTGTGTCCGCTTTCCGACACAGAGGCTGGTCCTGGGAGAATGCCCGGAGCATCACTGATTCAACTGCATGACATTGTTCTAACTACCACCTTATTTGTTTTTGTATAATCTACACTTCAGGCCAAAAAGACCACACTTGCCCAGCTATTGCTGATGAATGAAGCTGAATTGGAAGAGGCGGGTGTGAATCAAGTTGGCCCTCGCATGACTATCATTGAACAAGCTACCAAGACTATACTGGCAATGTGGGAGCAGCAGGTGCCTGATGACGACCTCAAGAAAAGGCAGATTTTGCAAAAGGAAGTGACGTGAGTGCCCAATCTATAGGCATGCAGTCCCACGCTGTGCTAAGCAGCCTGTTGTTGTGCCCTGTCAGGACGAAGTAACTAGTTAGATTCTCTGTACACTAGGGCTGAGTCGGGTAGCATTTTCTTCGGGTATCGGGTTCGGGTAGTTTTCCACGGGTAGCACGGGTACCTGATCGGGTAATGCTTCCATGGTAACACCATATGCACCCCTTCCCTTATGCACTGGGTAGACATGCGGAGTATTACGTGGATGTGTACAAATGCACTGTACATGATGTCATCTGCGACTTCGGGCTTTCGGGTACTATTCTGTACCCGTCTACCCGAGGTCCTGACGGGTAGCACGGGTACCCGACTACCCGTGCGCACCACTACTATACACCCCTATCTCACCCGTGCAGCCAAGATCAGCATTACGCCGCATGCAGGTGACTAGGCCTTCCCTCTGACATTGTGATACATACCCGCACATTCTGCTGCGTGGCGAGGCTGTGAGTCGTCTTTTTCCTGGCATGCCTGTGTCTTCAGGGACGACGTTGCGCGGAGAATAATGGCTAACCTAGCCGCTCAGGCAACGTACGCATCGACCACGTTATCCTATCTTCAGGCACAGCTGCCTGGTGCACTGTCAACGGCAAACGATCAATCGCAGGTTTGTTTGCATGTGCCTACTGACTGTTTTCGCCCTGATGATGATGATGATGATGGGCTATGCCCAAAATGTCGGTGAACACATTAATTTTAGTGACGTATGCAGCGAAGCGACCGTGTTGAGCGTTGGGTTGAGAAACCCTGGTGTGTAAATGGCTGCAATGGAGTCTGCGCGTACTTAGTAAAGTGTGCCTGTCAATCAAGGCACCTTTCACACATGTGCCCTTCCTCACGAGTGGCATGTGCAATTCATTGCAGCGTGAAAGCTTCATCCGGTCATCATTGTTGTTACTTCTCGACTTGGCCTAATGGCTTGTGGTGGTGCACTTAAGGCAGGAAGGTGTCGCCATAGGAAGCAGGTTACATGTTTAGGCACCCAAGATTTACTTCTTTTTGTACTCTATATTCTAATTTCTAAGGTATCTTCTACCTCTTCTCCCCTACGAACATACTTTCTCATTTTCCATACTTACTTAGGAGACTCCCTTCGATAGGCATCCATTTGCCTCTGGAGGATCCGCGAAATAAAATCAATCAAGATGGCAGAGGTTGTATCTGTTCGCAGATGAATCCAGGGACATACCACCTAATAATTACAACTCCGACGAGAGGGCAACTAATACTAACTTTGTCTACTCACAGTTGTTGTTTATTTTAGAACAAAGAGGAAGAAATGTTTCATGCGCATGCGTATAACAAGTGAGAGAGAGCTGACGTCATGCAGCGAGGTCGCTACACATGTACTTCGAAGTATCTGCAAACATACGTGCCCTATGCAATCCCCAGGCGTAGTGACTAATTTACCCAAAAAATTCAAGATTGGTTTTCGTATAATATTATATATCCTCCAGTGGTACATGTGCATTGTACACATGAAGTCAATACAGACCTTTGCACTTTGCAACGAAACGAGTGCGAGATGAATCCCACTCGGAACGGCGATGAACGAAGAGACAGACACCCGCTCCTGTAACCGAGGCCTTTTACAGAGCTCTTACACAGATTCTCAAACCCAGATAACGAATACACGTATGACTCATGTCTGCATTTTACTCGTATAAAGAAAGTGCTCTAATCACAAGAAAACCATTTTTTCAGATATGTACCCACATTTCATCTGATCCGTGTTTGTGTTCCGTGGGGGCCCTCTTGTTTTTTTCTTTTGTATTTGGTACAATTTGCCCATGCAGAAGGGATGAAAGAACGTGGGGGTAGTATGGGTACCTGGTATTTTCTACGACTGCAGTTTAGAGGGAAAAAAGGCACTGTTGGCTGTGTTTGTGCTGCAGATTGAAGACTCATTTTCTGCCTTGACTGAAGCATTGGATGTAGCAGGAGATATCCAGAACGAATGTGGAAAGCTGCACAGTCATATCTCACAGGTACGTACTGTATCCTGTGAGTAACTGACACTCGCGCCACATTGGAAGAATAGTGTAGTCGGTGCAATAACAGTGTCTTCTGGATACTTGGGCATTTTGCGAGTGCCCTCAGCTGTGCATAATTGGACTGCATTAACATGTACTGGTTCGGATCAAGGTTTTCATTTCATTAGTCGTGTGATGAACATTGAGGAGAACATCAACAACAACAACAACCACGACGACGACGACGACAACAACGACGACAACAACAACTACTACTACTACTACTACTACTACTACAATGGCGGCAGCAGCAACAACAACAACAACAACAACTATAGAGGGGCTACTCTGCCCAGGCCTTCCTTTTGCTGTTTGTGTATTACTGCTGGGTTTTGTTTGAAATGTTGGGTTCTTTGAACTTCACTGCCACTGGCCAGAGGCAGACCCCTCACACCGCCCTTGTGATGTCATCCATGCATATTTTCTGGGCAAATCGTTGCTGTTGCAGATCAAAAATAGTCTAATTCTAGGCCATATTTGGTAAACAGGGCTTACTCGCATTTTGTACACCTGTCATCATTTTGTGTACCCGGTCCTTTTCCTGTAGTTAGCTGCCAGGTTTTCCAGGATTTAACCTGATCAAGGCTCTGGCTGCACTTTATTTCGTAAACAGGCCCAAAATCCACTGTGCAGCTTGAATACACACTGTAGTGTCGCAGTGTGCCTCCAAGGGGAGGGAGGAGTCTTTGTAGTATTCAATTTTCTTTTTTTCCCGTTTTCTTGGCATTGCACTGTTTACTACAGGTGACAGAGGAGAAGCGCAGCAATCTTCTGTTCTGGAGTGCAACTGGTGTATCCAGTCTACTAGCTGGTGGCGTAATCCTGTATTATTTCAGTGATAGAATACCATCATTGGCAGTGCCGCTGTCCTTCCGTTAACCCAGCCCCAGAATAGGCATCCGCTTTGCTGACAACATGCATTGGTTTTAGGATAGTTTGAGTTGTGTGTACTATGTGTGCTTGCCACACTGCTGCTTGACCCAACAATGTACATTGTAGTGCCTGTTCTGTGTGTATGTGTTTCCCCTCCGCACCGCTGCTGCTTGTGCTATGATACTTATTCCACTGCATTCCTCTCTCTCTTTTTTTCTCCCTCTCTCTCTCTCTCTCTCTCTCTCTCTCTCTCTCTCTCTCTCTCTCTCTCTCTCTCGCTCCCCCCCCCCCCCCCCCCTCTCCCTCCATTGCTGGCAGGTTCCTTGCAAATGGTCAAACATCTTTCGCCCGTCATTATCACAACCAACCGTACATACCCACACACCGATGTAGAAACCACTCCACTTTGCTCTTTTGATTGCATGCTTGCTCAAATTTGATATACTTGATGTGGACCATCCAGCTCAATTGCTTTTTAGAATACTATTCATTTCTAATTGTCCGCAAACTCCAACACAGCCGCTTACACATTTAGGAAACTTCCCTTCTCGACTCCAAACTCCAAAAACGGTCTCTTCACTGCGATTCAAACTAAAATTTACATTATTTTCGGGCCTAGCCCATTACTCTGATGATGGGCCAGGCCCGAAAATTTGGTGTATTGTAAATTTTGATTTGAATCGCACTGAAGAGACCGTTTTCGGGAGTTTGGAGTTGAGAAGTGAAGTTTCCTAAATACTATTCATTGTACTTCATAGTGTGCAATTGCCCGCACAACCTCAACTCTCTCTTTGAGGTTTGTACTTCAAGTACTTTGTGGCACTATTACTGCATTATTCGTAGTAGAATTTCTGACTGCTCCATGATCCAGTGAACCTGATCCGAATCCAAACTGACCAATCAAACATATTAGGGCGAATTCCGAGCAAGCGTGATCGTTTGGCAGAGTAGGTGTACTTGGAGTGCAATCCGACCACACCAGGATCTGAGTGGCTGGAGTGAAAATGGACAGAGTTGTTTTGGCTGCTTTCACAGAATCGTTGTACGATATGCGTACCATTGGTGTACTACACCTTTGCTTTGTTCGATTGGGCGACCACACCACCTGCTCGCACTTCATCCAGATTTGCCAATGACACCCTAGTTTTGCGATTGACCCAAAAGCAGGTACTCATGGCCGTATAAGCCAGGGTTCAAACCATGCTTCTACGTCAACATCTTCAGCCTACAATGTACAGTGCGCAATATTGTCACGCATTTACTGATTTAGTGTGTAAGTACCGGAAAGTACCGTTGATCCGCCCCCACGCCATGTCGCTTCCCAGCTGGGGGGGGGGGGGGGGGGGGGGGGGCGGGAATTAGATCAAGGCTGTCAGGTGCAGTACGATGTACAACAACGTAGAAGTTCAGACTCGATGTCCTGGATTGTGCACATTTTCATCCTGGATTGGCAAGTATTGTGTACGGCAGTGCATGCGTCGGTTCAACATCGTATTTTCGTTGTATACACCGAAGTCGCTTCACAGGTAGAAAATCGACAGGGGGCGGGAATTAGAGAGGGGGTGCATCAACGGTACTTTACGGTACATGATACATGCATCCGCCTGTGTAACAGACAGGCTGTTCATACTACGTTACAATACGCGTCACGTTTTGGAATACGACGTACTGGCAGACGTTGTTTTCATGCAGGTGCATTCACACAGGCCAGCGCACGCTGCTCGTACAGCTGTGTTTACAGCTTCTTTTGGACACAAACTGCTGGGAACGACAGAACGAAACTCGGTACAGGGGTCTGGATACGTCGTCTACGTTTTCGTATCAGGGGTACGATTTTCCCGCCACGTTCCATGTTGTCATGGCTATCCGGACGAAAACGTCACGTACGCCACGTTCCGGGCGTAGTGTGAATGGCCCATTACACGAGGCGTTTCAACCCGGGTCAGATTTCAACCCGCCATGCACACAAATGAATGGCGCGTTCACATGATGCATTGCGCTCGACGGAATTTCGGACGGAATTTATTTTCGGACGATTTCTTACACAGCCTCTTTTGTACTAAAATTAATTCCGTTCTAAAATTTGTCCCTGTGAAGTTATGTACACTATAGGCGGAATGTACATGCGAACACGTGCATTTAGCATGCAACACTGTACGAAAATATAATCCGTACGAAAGGTCGAAAATTGGCTTTGTCCGAAAATATTTCCGTCCGAAATTTTCCTGCTATACAGTATTCGGTACCACCTCCACATTGATTTCAGCGAGCGAGGATTTAGGAACGAGTTATGTTTACAGCGTTCTGACCCAAGTCGGACCACTGAGAAACAAATGAACATGGGCCACACATCGGCCATAGTTTTTTTTGAAATCCATTGAGCTCCTTCAGCAAAAATACAGATATTTTATCATGATGGTATGTGCATCGTTTTGTGGGTTTCATGTGTCGAGCATAACAAAGGAATATGGAAGATATGAACATGTGGTTTGAAAATTTACACAAGAGCCGAGGGGTTGGGTTAAGAATTTACTGTCCCTGGCCTTCTCCTTGCGAGCGGACGTCGTCGATCTTCAGGATCATTTTTACAAGTTGAGCTGCGAGGAAGATTTGTTGCTTCTTGGAGTGCAAGACTTCGATGACGTGTTGTGTCTTCATGTCTGCAGATTTACCAGCACACAAAAGGAAGAAGAGATGCAGGGCACGGCGTTGGTGAAATACAATACAGGTGAATGAACGACTCACACGACAGCGACACTCATGCTAGAGATCAAGATCAACAAAACAACAACGCTTCTACTAGGTAGTGAGCGGGCAAGGAGCTAGTAGATGTACAGTACAAAATAATGCTGTTTATCATGAGCACATCACTCTCAACCATAAGCCAAAACCTCATCTTCAGGTCTCTTGCTATACCCGTTCAATATATTCATATAAATCACATGTAAAAAGACATGTTAGTAGGTCAAAACCCATTTTTGGCCTTGAGGCTTAGTGTACAAAAAGGTTGGACTTCTGTACGGGCTAATCCAGTTTACTATTCAGCGACAACCTGGGAAAGGGCCATACACTGAGATTGCACGCAGCTTACCATTGGTTCCCTTGCTGAGGCAATCGATACCAAGACGTGGGTTCATTTCCGCTGCTTGCTGCGCCTTGACGTTGGCAAGGGTGCGGATCGGATGGAGGCCAGAGTTCTCTGCCAGTGCCATCGGGACGGTCTCAAGGGCATCACCGAAAGCACGGAGAGCGTACTGCTCCAAAGTTGAGATCTGAAACACATAACAAAGTTAAAGATGTAGAGTGAGCCAGAGATAAAGGGTAAGGAGTAGCTTCTTCACAAAACACTACATGGGAATCAAGCTTGAAAGCTCATGCTCAGAAGGCCAATAACCAACTACAAAGAGATGCAGTCGACAATTTCATAACTCCAATATATCCCATGACTGACAATTTCTAGATGAAACTAGGACAATGATAATAGATGCCACCTCAGCGAGACCATTACCATAGCACACCAAGAAAATACACACCTGATCGGCTGCTTTCTTCACTGCCAATGAGCATGAGATTTCTGGGGCGCCACCACCATAGACAATGCGGTTGTCTCTCACAAGGTTGCGTACAACACAGAGGGCATCGTGCAGACTGCGCTTTGCCTCGGCGATGATCTAACAAAGATCAGATAACCAGGAATAGAAACACAGGAGTAATACATAGCTATGTTAGATAATCAAAAAAAAGGACACAAGGCATAAAAAACAGCTACAAGGCTAGAAATGTAACTCGTCCTCAGTCAGAGCAAACAATCAAGGAAGGCTTGCACTGTAGTTAGAAGAGTGAACGGTACTTTTGCATGGCGTCTGGCCCGATGGCCACAGTGCAGGCCAAACAGGAATCCTGATCCATGCGACACTTACAAAAAAGCAACATAAACGAACAGGAAAAGAAAGGAAGAGAATTACAACTCACCATCTCGTTTCCACCACGGATGAAGATGGTGACAGCTCTAGAGTTGGGGCACTCCTCAATAACCAGCATGTGATCTTTAGTTGTACCGAATGACAGCTCACGAACAATACCAGCCTTGCCAAGCTTCTCTGCTGTGAGCTCTGAGAACCGTGGCACAATACGTCCACCAGTTGCAATAGCAATGAGCTGCGATACATACAAAAACAGCAAACAGAACTGGCATTGCAGGGCTGTGCTCAAGCCTAGACAAAGAAATATATTTCTGGCGCGATAAGCAAAGAGTCACGAACAAGCATACATGAAGTGTAAGTAGTAATGTGTGCCTGCCCAGCATAGAATGCTGCCACAGAGTGTTCCATTGGATAGAGCACCTGGAAGGAAGCAAAACTTCAATCCCTGAACAGCTAAACAATGCAAACACTCCACCGAGCAATATCACAAACCAGAAAGGCATGAACTGAACAGGCTGCGAGGGCAGTGAGAAACCCCAATACCACACACAGCTGAGCAGAAGCAAGACTCTCCAGCGTAGACCGGCAATTTCAATGTTGCATGGTGTCTGGCCTGAGAGACCACAATACAGGCCAAACAGGAATTCATCCATGCGTAGCTATTAGGATAATACCATTATTACAATTGATGTTAGAGTGAAGACACGTATTCTCAAAACAGCCTCACCTCAATCTCGGGACCACCAACCCATCGCACAGCAGGGAGGTCATGCTGAAGAAGTAAATGGTTAGCTTCATCATCGAAACCCCACTGGCAAATTGCTAGCGTGGCACCGGTGTCCTTGACCTACAAAACAAGGAGCAAACTGCGCACATTAGGCTCTACATAAGATAGTTTCCACTGAAAAAAGAGACCGGAAGGGCTGGGACGGTGACTAAAGTTATGTAACAACGGAAATCCAAATTCAAGGGATGTCCCACACCCTCAGTCAGAAGAGGCAACTGGGAATCTGCCTGAACTGTAGTTAGGTGAGGAATAGGTAATTTAGCACAGCGTCTGGCCCGACAGCCACAGTACAGGCTGAACAGGAATCCTGGTCTGTGCAACAATGAGTTTAACAATGAAATACTGCAAGAAACTGGCAAACTGAACGCAAGGCTACGAAGTCCATCGCTAACTGAAGAAACACTACCTGAAACAATCTCCCCTGTGCAAGAAGTAAAAGACGAGTGTGTGATGAGAGGGATCGTTGTCCGGTAAGCAGTAAAACTCTGCAAATCGCTATAACTCATTATTTCAAATCTTACAGCACTTCATGCTAGGAACATCTGAATGAGCCAATGGAAACAAAATATTCTTTGAAACTGACCTGCTTCACCATCTCTTGGAACTTGCCCTTCTCGTAGTCTCGGAGTTTGCGATAGTCTTCAACAGAGCTGACATCAAGCTTATGCTTTGTCTTGGGCTTCGGTGGCTCGAACGGGCATGTGAGGATTGCAAGCTTTACATCTTTCAGTTCCTGACAACGAGAGTGAAAACAAGGATTATAGATTTCTGCTAGAGATATAATGGTGCCCGTACCGCACGCAAAGTGTCTTGGAAAGAGTAGATTTCAATAGCAGGCTATTGAGAAAAGAAAAGCTAGGCAAGGCAAAAAAGTATATCCTGCTATTTTAGTCAATAGGAGCGGACAAGAGCCACACCATTGTATCAGGTAGCAGTGTTACTGTAGCACGTCCTCTAGGGCCTGACAGTACAAAGGAACCGCTTGGCTGCTTTTACACGTGCATAGGAATACAACAGGTCGATTAAACTTCTGAGTTTCACTACCAATCACGCAGTAATATTCTCCCCTTCACAGCTCAATACATTTATCACTCAAAGAACTCACCTTGGGCATCTGTGGATGACTGAAGTCTTTATCAACAACAACACCTCGGACAAGCTGAGTATCTTCAAGCTTGCCACCGACCTTGCTGTCAACCTTGATCAACTCAAAATCAACATCTTTGCGCTCCATGTCGGCAACTGCCATGATGGCGTCGACGGCGATCTCAGCCATCTGCCGGTGACAGCGGTTGATACTGAAAAAGAAATAGAGAACAATACGATTGTAAGATAGATACCCGATTGCAATGGCAGTAAATATGAGCCACACAAGGTAGGAAAAGAGATGGGTGAAATCCACCCAAACAATGAAACAAATGTAACTCGTCCTCAGTCAGAGCAAACAATCGAGGAAGGCTTGCACTGTAGTTAGAAGAGTGAACGGTGCTTTTGCATGGCGTCTGGCCCGATGGCCACAGTGCAGGCCAAACAGGAATCCTGATCCATGCGGACAGTGCTATTTAGAAACTAAACTAATCAGAGACAAGAGAGCAATCTTACACTGAATTTATTTGCAGCTGCACAATAGATATGACACCAGAAACCTTTACATACAACTTCAGCTCCAGTTCTCTAATGAGTGGTCGGATTTCATACACTAGGACTGAACCTTATTGGGGGAAAACAACATACATTTTTGATCCGAGGGTAGTCATGGCAGTCTCGATAAGAGGCTCCTTGTTGTTGGGATCAACAGGAAACGACTCGCTGATTGTGTCCAAATGGTCGGTGGCAATCTTTGCTGCTTGCTCATAGCCATCAGCAATACGGATAGGGTGGATACCACGGTCCAGAAGCTGCTCTGCTTGTTCAAGAAGCGCTCCAGCAAGAACTGCGCACACACATAACATATAAATATAATAATTATTATATCATCAACATGTTGTACTGTATATATCCATGTAGGTAACAGGAAACATGCATCAGAGCAAGAAGGATCCGGAAATGTTCTGCTATTTCAGTCAATAAGAATGGATAAGAACCAAACAATTGTATCAGATAGCAGTGTTACTGTAGCACGTCCTCTAGGGCCTGACAGTACAAAGGAACCGCTTGGCTGCTTTTACACGTGCATAGGAATACAACAGGTCAATGAAACTTCTAATTGACTGGTGCAGGACAATACTGAACAATGATTGGTGGTTGCGGAGTCATTCAGTTCAAATACTTTGGGATGGGTGACCTATTCATTTTTTCTATTGTACAAGTACAAATTTTCGTTCACGAAATCTTTCGTTATATGAGCCCGGATCAGCGAAAACCATCACTTGTGTTCGATATCAAGTTGATCAAAAAGTGACGTTGAAGTCGAGCGAAAGAAAAGTCGCGGACCTAACAACTACCCATCACCTTCTTTCTTGTCACTAGTCTTTTATTCCGCCTGACAAGCCCGTGTTTGTTTGTTTGTCAGTGACTAGCTAGCTAGGCAAGCCCCAGGCAAGTGAGGAGACACGGCTGGGAAACCCCACGTACCTGAGCTTGGCTGGCGAATACTTGGTCCGTTTCATCGCAATTGTCGCTTATCTATCGCAACTAAGAACAGGAGTTTTTTTACCGCTCTGTGAAATTTCCAATACGCATAGTGAAGAAGCATGATACAGGATTCCTGTCCGCCACAAGAAATAAATTCAGCGATGGAATCTGATGAAGCAAGTCGAAGAAAGGAAGCAAGGTTACAAAAAATGTGCAAAAGAAAACAGCGACGGAGCGCCTTCTTGCACTCAGGCTTTAGTTTATCCGACTCTGGCTCTGTATCACTCGAGCTGATGCCACTTGAGCTCACATTCACTGGTGTGTATAGCTGCTAGCGTAGAGTACCGTATCTCTTGCTTTCTCCGCTTGGCGTATAGCAGCGACGGGAAAGGAACAGTCGCGGTTGTCACTTTGGCACTTGGAGGAACGTGGGCAGCGTGACCCGTCTGTCACTACAGTACTGTGTGTTCAACAATGTTTTTGAATCAGGCACACATCCCTCTCCAGACAGCTGTCATACGCTCTGCTGGATACGCTGACCACGACTCTTGTGCTGCCGCTGCCAGGTCGGACAATGTCTTCTTTGCCACCATCTCGCCATCAGTTTGCACGCTTGCAAAGAATACCAGGTCATTGCAGTTCAAACATTGCAGTTCAAACAACTGAGCTGGCTGGCCTGGCCGTGACTGTCACGCTCTCCAGGTCAGGATGTCGATTTCCCCTGCTACAGTTCCGGTCTTTGAGCTGCGCTTGGCTTTTCGCTGCAGTGAATGTGTGCATTCACTGCAGTGCATTCACTGCAGCGAAAAGTTTCCCACTTTTCCATCAAAATTGTATGAATCGCGATGCCACTGGCGCTAGTCGCGATGGTTTTTTCTTTCTGGCTCCTCTGATCTTGCCATCACAACCTCCCAAACGAATGTGAGTTAGATATCGAGATAGGACTGGGTTTTACCTGTCAAAAGGTGCGTGGGAGATAAGCGACAATTGCGATGAAACGGACCAAGTAGGTACGATCGCGGGGCGCGAGCATCGCACACGCATCGATCGTCGTTGACGCCAATCACGACGCGACATTTTTGGTGATGACTGGAATGGCGATTGCTAATCAAGGGAGTCAGGTGAAAGCCGCGGAGCTCCAGAGGACCACTCTCTCCTGCCACAAAGCGACTCGGCAAGGCTGCAGACTTCGTGTAGAAGAAAGCAGCGCTGATGAGAATGACGGATAGCGTTGAGCGATGAACGACTCCTTCACTAGTAAGTTTGTCGGATATCGACAGTGACGATGCAGAGCAAAGGCGTCTCTATTCACGACTGGAATAGCAACGAGAGCTAGCGCCAGACAATATCTGCTTCGTTGGCTTGGACGCTGATCAACTTGAAACATTATTTGGTCCATGCAGCAGCTCCCAAAAAAATTCAAAAAATACGTTCCTGTACGGTCAGGTAACCGTTGAATGTATCTGCACCTAGTACGTACCTCATGCTCATGAGCCTGTGTGCTGAGCAGTCACAGCTACTGTGATTGGACTCCGTGTGATATGTTTTCACGGAAGTGAAGGGCTTGGAGAGCATCAGTACAGAGCCTGGTGTGGATGCAATATCAGGCCCTGGAACTTGGCCATATGCCGTTAGCTGCGCAGTAGTCAGTGAAGCCAATGGTTTACTTGGACAAGCCAGTGTCTGAGTAAACCCCCAAGGACTATAAAATTCCTCCTTGTTAGCCGGCTGAGTGATGACAATGCCTAACAGGATCAGACACATACCAACGCTCATACTTGCATCCTACACAGAAATGCCACTTCCAACGTTTGCCATACAGTGATGTGGTGTACCGCATTTTTTGGTCAATTACGGTGCTGCGATTGGTCTAAAATTTCTTGAGACTGGTTATCAGTGGTTGTGGATCAATTTGGAGCACAAAAATATTGAAATTTTGCACATGTGATGGTTTTTGCCGATTCAGGCTCATATCACTCCACCAGCAGGCTTGTTACGTACTAAATTTCGTTTTCGGTTGAGGTCTGCCACCCCGAACATTCAGAAAAAAACTTTTAGTTATTCCGTGCCCCCTAACGAATATAGCGAAGTTAATTCCAAACGAAAATTTGTACTTATACAGTATGCTGAATAACACCCCGAGCAGTGATTACTGACGATCGAGTACATGTAGTGTTATTTGCGATTGGGCTGTTCCCCTATCCATACCATTACGGACTGATGATGAACCTACATGGAATGATTCAAACCAATCACCAGGAAGGAGCGCCTGGTCTACATTAATAAAATCTCAAATTGAATGAAATAATTGCGTCTCTGAGTGGAGCTACAATGCCTCCACTTTCGGTCGGAAGATATCACGAAGTTTTCACCAGACCAAAATCTTGAAACTCCATTGCTCGTGAGTGAAACTAGAAATCAACCATGAGAGATTGTGTGCAGCACTGCATGAACTGAACTCCTGGGAGATCAGGGAAAGCAGCTACGAGTGAAAGAGGAAATGGATTCATCTGTGTGTGTTGGGGGGGGGGGGGGGGGAGGGCACAGTAGTACCAAAAAGCGTGGCCCAACACATTCATATAGATGCTGCTATTGCCAACTTACCAACAACACCTGTTGTGCCATCACCAATTTCTTCATCCTGAGATCGGGACAGTTCGACCAACAGTCTTCCTATCTGATGCTCAACGTCCATTTGAGCGAGAATGGTGGCACCATCGTTGGTAATGGTGACTGACCCATCACCACTGACCATCATTTTGTCCATACCTGAGCACACGAAAATATATATGCTCTACTCTCTTACATGTGTGTGCCTTTTACTCTGCACGTTTGTAAGTGTGGTTTGTATTAAAGTGTGTATGTATTGTGACTGGAGAGATACAAGAAGTCGACACCAACGATCATCTCAGTGTCTCCAACTTGGTTTTCAAAATTAATGACACAATTCGCTGTTGAAAATGGATAAATAAAAAAATCGCTATTGAAAGTGGACAACTGAGCAATTCAATGTAGAAATGACCAGTGAACACTTAACAATTAATCAGTATCGCGGAATCTCATAATGCAAGAGTACGTGTATGGTTTCAACAACAATATTTTGGAGGAGGCAAGACCCCCCAAGATGAGGTAAGTGGGAATGTACATATTTGATTTGAAAACTTCAGCAGCTGTGCTAAAAATTCGGAATAGCTACCTTTGGGTCCAAGCGATGTACGCAAGGTAGAGGCGACGGTTCTCGCCGCATTGATATGCGCCTAGAAATATAAAAACAAAGCACAATTTACAATTTACAAATCTGGCGGCGAAAATGAATTGGATGTAAATGTTACCTTCTGTGCGTCGATGCCTGACAAGCGGGTTTTGGAGCCCTGGTCACGCAAAATGATGAAGGGCCTGCCATACTCATCGAAGGCTAAGGATTGAGCCAAGCTCATTGTGAATTTTTACTCTATGACTACATATAATCGGGAAGAGCAGCTCCTTCTTCGAGATCTTCCTTTGACGAACTCTTCGCCTTCTCAAACGCGCCATGTTGGCTGCTTTGGGGCATGACTGCTCATCTCCATGGCAATAAATATGGCGCCGCTACAAAAAATCTTGAAAATACTTTGGCATTTTTTTGTTTATTATATATATATGTCAGATGACTTTTCTTGCATGAATCGACTCTCGATCTTGCACGCGCCAGCTAGCTAGCACCACACATGCACTTTTTCAACTTTTTGTAGTCATGCATATGCACAAATTATTTTCATTGAACTGAAACCACTGGAAACCCCCTGATCTGGAATAATTCTCAGTCACTGATCTACCGACTAGTATTACTGTCAGTACCGGTATATACCGTCGACGTCTAATGTCTACCTGATACTGTAGTGATAATGACTCTTGTTCATAGTGGAAATCGAGGTGGATCAAGTCAGCAAGTCTGGGGTATCACTATCAGCACCCGCTGTCTCTTGATGACTGAATAAAAAGGGTGCTCAGGCAGCAATGATTCCAATGTTGAAACGATTTTACAAATTTGCTTTCCTCAATAATGAGCGTAGAGAACAACATCTGAATAGAGAGAGCATTGCCATTTTAAGAAAGTAATTTTACAAGACTGCGCGATGGCACACCAAGGCTTTTCTACTGTTGTTGAGCAATGTTTTGATGTTGGCCACTCACTAGCAACACTGAGCGAAGATGTATCGTCTGTGGATGTCAGTACCATTGGTGCTGAGCCTGTTGCTGCTATAATACAATCAGCTATTGGATCCGTGGTAGATAGAACGCCTTCCACAGGTAAACAATTGTCGCAAGGAGCACTTGATATCTGTTGGGAGAAACTGAATAGTGGCTACTGGCGTGATGTATCTGTCCTATGGCGCCAGCTGTACACATACTCCTCTATATCCATGGCTTTGAGTCTGGCTGCAGAAGGCCTGCTGAAGGAATCTTTGAAGACATGTGATGTTGGGTTGCTGATGGGAGCACCTGTCCCAGGCAATCACTTACACCGCCTTGCTGCCATTCTAACAAATCGTCTTCGTGAGGTATGCATATCACTTAATCTGCTTGCCAGTATTGGTTTAGCATAGGGAACATAGACCCATAAGATTTGGGCTGCCAAGTTAATGAATTTGAAAATGAAGGAGTCTACGTGACCATTGTTGTCATTTCTGACCTGGTGCGTGACATGCTCAATGAATGTGTGATGAAAACCTATTGAATCTGACTTCCTAAGTATACATGGTGTACGTTACACACACACACACACACATACACACACACACACACGCACACACACGCACATACACATGTACCATGTATACGCCCGTCACAAGAGAAGCACGCAAATCTGCAAATGCACTGGATGTGCACCCACACATACCGTACTCACTCGATTAGAAGCCGGGGGCTTCTATTTTTTCAATACCGATTTTGAGGAGGCTTCTATTCAAGAGGGGCTTCTATTCGAGGGGGGGCTTTTATTGTTTCATTCCATACCAGTATTCCAATCAAATCTCTAAAACTTTCATATTCACAGCAACTCGACCCTGAGTTAGTTCGCACACACTAAGTCGACCAGGACATATACCAATATGAACATGCACGGGGTGTTTTTTGCACACTTGACCTTCATACATGGCACTACCTGGTCACCCCATGCTTTGCGAATAGTAGTCCGGGCTTCTATTCGAGAGGGGCTTGTATTTTTTCAAACAGTCCTTGTAGGGGGGCTATTATTCAAGAGGGGCTTTTATTCGAGAGGGGCTTCTAATCAAGTGAGTACGGTATACACACACACACATATACACATACAATGTCACATACACACACATACACACACGCTATAGTACATGGGCAGCAGTCCTCCATCTCGGCTTACAGCGCTCGGTTGGGTTCAATTACTGATAGTACCGGTTTGACTCTGCTACCATCAACTCCCATGTAGTTCGACTGATGATCATCAACTGAAACCGTTCTTGAAATACTGGCTCAAAAAACTGACAGCATTCCTCCTCTGATATGATTATTATTATTTTGTGTTTTAAACTTCTATCCGCATGCTGTAGACATCTGTGTCGGATTCCTTGCCAAACGACAAGCTACCTTGCGGACCGGACTTTCAATGTGGAGGACTTCCAATTGAACGAGTTCAATGCCCATCTTTATTGATGTTTGAGGAGAAGTATATGCGCCAGAAGGTTCCAGTCATCATCACTGATGCAACTAACCACTGGCCAGCACTCTCCTCGAGACCGTGGAGGTAAGACATCATGACACTGAACACTGAATTGAGTGGTCCTGATCCAGCTCTTGTGTCGTGCTTTGCTTGGTACTGCACTGTGCAGCGCCACCTTGGCATCAGATTTTGATTGGAGAGCTCAATTCCCTGAGCACTTGTTACGACAAGCAGCCTGCTCTCCTGCCAAAATCTCTCCGTATCAGTATTTACTGATCAGGGTTACTCTAGTGCTCATGTCACCAGGTTCATCACAAGAAGATTTTGAACAGAGCATTGAAGTATTCCTTTCTCATTATGATTTTATCACTTCAATGTCCCAGCACACCATCAGCCGGCCCTGATCACCCTCAGTCCTCACTCACTTATCCCAGAGTGAAAAGCTAGCCTAGTTTTCCATGTAAATAGCACCTCACATCCTGATTTGTATCCGAATTGTGTGAGTCGTGCCATCATTCAGTATTTCCACTTATAGACATAATAATTTGTTTCGAATGTGAACACAGCTTGGCGTATCTCAAGCAAGCTGCGGGCGATCGTACAGTGCCCATAGAAGTCGGAGCAAGGTACACTGACCAAACCTGGAGTCAAGCGCTGATGACCATCAACTCTTTCATTGACTCTATTTCGGAAGCGCCGTCGGAAGAAGTGGCTGGAAAGTCATCAACGCATTACCTGGCACAACACCAGCTCTTTGAACAAGTATGTACATGTACCATCAATCAACCAATATGGAGAGTTGCCTTGAGGTGCAATTTTGAGGTGCAATGTGATATGCCATGTTTTTTTCTCATACTGAGTCATTCCTTCAAGGTACAGTTGTGGCAAGTGTTTATACTAGAAAGTCTCTCTCTCTCTCTCTCTCTCTCTCTCTCTCTCTCTCTCTCTCTCTCTCTCTCTCTCTCTTTCAACTCGTAAAGACAAGTATGTAAAGAGTTCTCAATGAGTCCCGCCTCGGATTGACCAAGTCAGGAGCATTGGAATCCCCAGCCGGTTAGGTCTAACTCAAACATGAAATGAGTCAGCATTCTCTTCTTTTGTACCTTTAGTCGCGTCCAATGCATGTTCTTTCTGATTTGACCCTTTTTGTGTCTCTGCAGCTGCCAGAACTGCGCTCCGACATATGTGTGCCGGACTACTGCTGTTTGTCTGAGTCCGATGACACTGAGCCAGTGGTGAATGCGTGGATTGGTCCATGCGGAACGGTGTCACCATTGCACCACGACCCGTATCACAACGTCTTTGCTCAGGTTTGTAGACTTCTTGTTTGTTTTTGCCATTGTTTGAAATCAACTTGTTATGGAGAAGGGGGGGGGGGGGGCTTGTCAACTGACAACTGCTCTTCTGAGTTACTATGCAATTTATACGCTGAGCTACTTGTACTTGATAAATTAACTTCATTGATTTGTAAAATATGTTGACGTTTTGGGCCAGTCATCCATCTCAGAATGATTCACAAGGGGTGAACCTGACCTTATATAGCAGCATGAAAGCGAGTGACTATGTATTTCCCAGCAGATCTACATCGACTTGGGTTTGTTGCAGAAAGGCGATGACACGCTCAATTCTCTCTTCAATTGGAATATATGGGTGTAGACCAACCACACGCATTGATAACACTGTCGATTTGTTGGTCGATGTGTCCAATGTTGCAGGTGTACACTTTGCTTTGTCTAACGCATCTTGTAAATCGTTCTGACGACGGGCGAATGGCCCGAGATGACATAATTTTACGAATCAATAAATCAAACTTTTTAAGTAACTCGGAGATTGGGTGAATAGCAACTGAATAGAGCAGTTGTCACTTGGCAACCCCCTTTTCAGGCAGTTGCTTGAAGTCCATAAACTAACTTTCATGTTGACACATTTTGTTAAGATAATTGTGATGTTCTGCTCTATGCTACGGGAACCCGACACGATTAACCCCGGGAACACTCTTCGCGTTCCTGTAGCGTAAAGGAAACCTGTTCTGCTCTGCGTTCACGAAAAGAAATCACGTGGAATGTGTATTGAGGATTTCCCGTTCCGAATTTGACAGTTTTCTGCCTGATTTGAATAATACCCAGCAGATCCGTACGCATTTTCTTTGCGTGTGCCACAACGTAGAGAACCTTATCTCCGGAGGTCCGCGTAGAAATCTGGATCCGGGTATCCAAAGCACGCTAAGCCGTAGACTCTTCTCTATGTTTCATGCAGAATGCAGGACCTCACTAAAAAAGGGAGGCTCAGTACTACAGTAGGCTTTTATTTGTACCATATTTGCCATTTGCTGTACAATGCTCTCGGTCGATATTCATAAGAAGTACACAATTCACCTATATATGGAAGACGTGTTGAGGGAACCATCCATATTTGACAGGATACTGGGGTGTGACTAGTAGTAGTATTCTTTTATTTATAGTGGAGAAACCAAAACAGGCAGACGCCTAATAACAATGGACCCACTGTGTAGGGTGGTGGAGGAGACTGGCAGACGAATGCAGCTGACTACTGTAAATATACAAATTTTCGGCAGCTATTTAATTTCGGCTATATTCGGCACCGACCCAAAACGCCTAAATTAAAACGCCGATGAAATTTTTCACAGCATCTGTCGCACTATACCATGCCCTCTACCCCACGCCGAAAATAAATCGCCGCCGAAATGTCAAAAATCGTCAAGTGCCGAAATTTTGTATATTTACAGTATCAAGTAGCTGATGTGGTTGCTGTGTAGTGCAAGGAACTTGACAATGGGTGTGTTGCTGCATATGTCTTGTCTAACTGGTTTGCAGGTGGTCGGTAAGAAACTGATTCGACTGTATTCATCTGCACACAGTGATCTACTGTACCCGCACGACTCGGCCATGATGCACAACACAAGCCAGGTGGACTGTGAAAACCCAGACCTGCAGCGCTTTCCTAAGTTTGCCGAGGCGCCGTTCTGGGAATGCGTCGTACAGCCAGGCGATCTTCTCTATATTCCGCCAAAGTTCTGGCACTATGTACGCTCGTTGTCTGTTAGTTTTTCTGTCAGCTTCTGGTGGACATAGTTTTTTTGTTTCTTGGCCAAAAGTTGATCTTTTTTTGTGCTGCTATATTGTGCTCTCGCTTTCCTTGTCTCAGTCTCTCTTTAATTTTTACTTCCTGTTATGCTCGTGGCTGGACCATGGTCCTGATTTTTACATTGTAGTATTCTTTCCCTGCAGACTGTTTTCAACAAGCCTGCAATATTCACGGCAACATTGCCAAGACCATTGGACAGAGGCATTGGTTGAGTGTGTAGTGCCGTTCTACATTACACCCATCTTTCATGGTTGCCTATCGTGAGACTGAGGGAGAATCCATATTGGGTGGAGACTTGGTATAATATTATCACAACCATGTGAAATATAATATTCATAAGTGCATGTTGATGTGCTGCACGCATCTTGGTGAATGCTCGCTCTAGCCTAGGTTGAGTTAGGATACTCTGTGATGTTGCGTGATGCTTTGCAATGCATGTTTCATACATCCAAGCCCTTGAACGATGTTCATGAATAGCTCGGATTGCAAGTCATGATCTACACTTGCAGTTCTGTGCAGATGCGCTGAGGATATGAGATCCATTGGCATTGCTGATCTACTGTTGTGTGCTTGCATGCATCATTTTGATTCGTGAAAAATCATGCTCTGTTTACCGGGTGAACCAGGGAGTCGTACCCCAAACCATTTTTTGGGGGTACAACTAGGGTGATGTCACAAGCCGATCGTTGTCAGAAACCGAAAGGCTGATCATGTCTTGAAAACACACAAACGGTACAGGCCGACTCCCTGGTATAAACCATACATGTACACGTGCTAGCAAGAGTAAATAATACTCTTGATACTCGCGCTCTGGCATCACATTATCATTTGTGGCAAGAGAGCAAATGAGCAACCTCAGTTCTTATACTGCCTACATGTATGTGTCCAGCGAGATTTACACCCACCTGCAATGCTCCTTCAGGCTTCTCTCAAATCAATCAGTCAATGTGTAATTTGCAGCAGATCCAGCACTTTACTTGTACGTGTAAGTCTAGCAAGATACAAATACGATAGACTCATAGTGTACCACTCCTTACTTTCGATATCCAGACAAGCACCAAACAACACATCATGTAAACTGTTTGATTACATGGACTGTGACCAGATGAACTTCATAGTAGAGTCCCATGAGCACACACATATCCACCAATTCATACATGATCGAGCCACAATTGTCAGAGCATCTAAGATGGCTGAAGATCTCTAGTGTACCCAGGAAGTACATTGTATAAGACAGCATAATTATTATATCTACGTACAAGATGCATGATAGGATTAGTACTATTTGCAAGCTATCAGACAGAGAAGTCCACACAGCGGACGAGATAATATCTGTACACACCTAATTCTGCTTATCTGGTAAAATTGTTTACCATTTTTGATCATTATGAGGTAGTTTCAAAATATGCAAAATATGCAAAAGAAAAAGAATCACGAAATTTGTTGTGCTGTCGTGCTGTCTATAGGAGTCAAAAATCAGGATGCGAGTGGGTTTCGCTCATTGGCCTTGTCGAGTTCCTTCACCTTATCGAAGTCCAGCTGTCCCTCACCGAGAGCATCTGCTGTTTCTGAGGACACCGCTGTGCTGTTCAGTGTGCCGAGCTTCAAGCTAGATTCATTCTGTTCTCTAACCTGGGCGAACGATCTGGAAATCCGGCCAATGGCACGGATCTTCTGTCGGATTGCTTCCTGTCGAAGCTGCTTCTGGCGAGCAGGGTCATCATCCGCTGCTAGCTCATCTCCACTGCAGACATTCAGCAAGCCGGCGAGCATCTCGGTCACCTTCTCGGCGACAAACGGTGCTGACCACGTGAAGACGTTCATGAAGTTTGGCAACCAATACGGATGCGGAGAGCAGTTAAACTGGCGAATGTTCATAACGTTGTTCTCGTACTTGAGGATGGCAGCCTTGTTTCCATACACATCCAGGTAGTTGGGTGCGGAGAATATGGTAATTAATGAAGGGAAGCCAGTCGCTTCATTCTTTCGGTACATCCGATAGCCAGAGTCCTGGGCCTCGTGTCCACGGATAATCGAGAGCAGGTTGTTCTTCTTCAGGAACTCGCAGCTTGCCATGTACGTAAAGAAGAATGAGCAACCTCTTGTGCTGTTATGTGTGAAGTGTTCAGAGGACTTCTCTGCACCATAATCCTCCAGGGGATCAGACCATAGCATGTCACACATTGCCCCAAACGCTGGTGGCTCCTTGAAGCGGTCGATTTTCTGGATATCTTCCAGCGTGTGGATCTCAGGCGACAGACCACCGTGCACACACAGGAACTGCTTGTTCATGAGAGCAGCCAGAGGCAAGCAGTCGAAAGATTCCATTACAGCATCGTACAATTCCTCACTGTACTTGACCTTGCACTCCTGTTTGAATGTGAAGTAGTCCGTCAGGTGACGGCATTCGTGGTTACCACGAAGGAGAAAGAGTGTTGACGTGAACGTGGCCTTCAACGCCCATAGATACAGCACACATTCGATGGAAAAGTATCCTCGATCAACATAATCGCCGAGGAACAGGTATTTCGTTGTCTCGGGGGAACCTCCAACATCGAACAGCTTCATTAAATCGAAATATTGGCCATGAATGTCACCACATACCGTCAGGGGAGCATCTAACTCTATTAGATTGTCCTCTTTCCGGAGCAGCTCCGTGGTAGTTTTTATGATATGGAGAGCGGCTTCCTCGTCAATCCGCCCTTCCCGGATGAAATGATTTTTCAGGACTTCCGTATTGCATTTTCCATTGGCATCATACAAGTCTGACATACATAATCTAGTTGCTACTGGTGCCGCAACACTCTGTACTGCTCTCTCAACCGTGTCAAGCTTCTCGACGTCCTGCTTGGACGTCTCTGAATCCGACATGGTGATGCTTTCACTTCCGCAAACAGCAACTCCAGCCCATCTCAAAATTTCGTAGGACTTCGGTGGGCCAGCATCTGACCTTGCCAGCATTCACACAATCGTTTTCGCGCATGCCCGGTTTACCGCGCCCGACCCGCAAAGGCACAAAATCTCTGCGTTTGTTTGCCTGCCTTTTTGGGTGTTGTGCTGATGACGTACATGTACACAACAAAGCCAAAACGGTTTCTGCAAATTTTTGATTGTTTTCATTTTCAGTTCATGAGCACTTTTAGATTTTTATTTCAGCAATTGCATGTTTGTTGATTGACAGCTAGCTGAGAACTAGCTTACTTAGATCGCCACTGGCGTTGGTATAAAAGTCCATCATGCCCGTGGTTGAAGGAGAGGATACTGAATCTGATGAGGAAGTTGAGCCTACTGGGGCGAAAGAAACACCCGATGTTAGTTCCCTGGCGAAAGCAAGGACAGTTGTGTCAGGCGAAGAGTCTGAAACTGAGGATGAAGACGAGGAGGACGCTTCTTCTCTTGTGGAACCAATGACTGTTGAAGAAGACCAGAAGAGCACCAAATTAATTGGCGTGGATATTCGAGATAAACTGAAGGAGCTTACAAAGAGGCAGCCATCTGGGGGTGCATCGAAGCGACGTACCAAACGCGATCCGAAATACGAAACGTGAGTGTGCATTGAACAAGGATTAGTGAAGAGTAAGAGATGTGCGCGTGCGCGTGTGTGTGCGGCAATGTAAGGGTCAGCGCACAGTAGGAAATGGGCGTGCGTGTGTGTGCATGCGCGTGTGTGTGTGCGTGTTCGGCAATGTACGGAGTACGAGGAATGGTTCCTGAGTGCTGATGGACTGGCCTTGCACACGTGCTCCTCTGCTCCTGCTGCCTCGGCAAGCTCATTTCAGGCCCAGGCAGTCACTTCACCGTCAACCCAGTGCGTAAGCGTGGCGTTTCTTTGCCAATGCCATACTGTAGCACATTGTGCTGGCTGTAGCGGTGGCCGTTACTGCCAGTTGACTCATGGATTTGACATGCACAAGTGCGAACCAGTTCTTGCTAAGAACATACTGTACAGTCAGGGTCAGATAACATAATTCGGGGCTAAGATGAACCCTTGGATAGGGTGAACTATTTTTCCTGTCCTAGGGCCTAGCAGCACATGCCGTAAAGTCGTGTATAAAACACACGGCGTATATGACTTTTGGGGGAAATTGTACAGGCTTCTACATGAGACAGGCTTCTATACAAGACGGGTATTTCTATGTATACAACACTAAAACCAGGCTTATGTGCTGACAATGCATCTTGAAAATCTGGCTTCTATATGAGACAGGCTTTAATACAAGACACTATGGTACTTTTTAATAGCTGCGATGAACTCAACTAAGGCGACCTAAAGGTGATCCTAAAAGCGTGTCCTGACTGGCCAGATCTCGTATTGGTGAACTCGATTCTGGCGACCCCAAACAGGGGAGAAGTGACTGAGTGGCAGTGTGCATGTGTGGGGGTGGGGTGGGTGCGCACGCATATGTGTGAGAGAGGGGGGGGGGGGGGGGGGGGGCTGCTATTTTGATGTGGTGGTTGCGTGCAATGCACATGTCTCATCAGAAGTGTTGTGATTGTGATATTCTGCTGTATCTCGTCTCCTTCGGCAGCAGTGTTTCCAGGCACTAGTCGTATCCCATACACTTCACATGTACAAAAAATCACGTTTCGCGTCAGACTCTGCTAGAGGCCGAGTTTTCCGCATCCGTAGGAACGCCACCACCCTTCAAGGACCAAGGCGCAGATGCAGGTCCTAAAGCGGTGGGAGGTGAGGAGATCAGACCCACCAAAGTGGTCAAAGACCGAAAATCCCATTCACTGCATCGCATGTACAATGTAACCGAAAATTCAACCTGCATAACTGTAACTCCTGAGTCTTGTTTGTGTCTTCCGATTCTGTTTGCTCTGTGCTTAGGTTACTTCACCGGAAGTTAAGTAAGTGACGAGTGGTTGTACATTTATGGTCTGTTTAATTGTTTCTACAGGTAGTGGTAGAATCTACTGCATTCAGAAGTCAGACCTTGCTTTTTATAGTCGTTCTGCTTGTATCCGGTTCCCTTACCAATCAGTGGTAGATTGGTTAGAGCGAATATTCAACGAACATTCAGAGTACAGTGTAACGCTTTTTCGGCTATCCGGTTCCACATCCATCCCAATATTTTGTCCGAAAGGAATATGTGGGTTTTAGCAAGATTTGACTGCGGTAGCCCGTTGAGTATGTGCATTCATATTGTCCACCCGGAACAGTGGTGGTCTTCACCCGCTCCACGAGGCTAGGGGCTGGTGGAAACCAGTAGAACACAGTATTAAAGGCTATAATTATTATGGTGTTGCGGGATGCCAGTCGTACTGTATCAAGACTCCTCTTTGGTATGTCCATGGCAACAGTTCTGTTTCCAGAAATGTTATCCATCGTACTGTACGCATGTGCAGGATTCACGCACATTCGACAATGATGCTGAGCAGCTCCATTCTGCTCTATCAAGGAGCCAAGAATGAGCACATTCTTTGTGTTCGGTGATGAATCTTGCTGGGGTCTGTTGTGTGTAGGTTTTGCCTTGCTACGAGACTAGTAAGGAGTGCTCCCAGAGAACTAACTGTAGTACTCTTTCCTTCTTTCTACACTGTTTTCACAGGGGAAGATTTGACGTTAGTGCGCAAAGACCTGAATAGCCAGATCTGTGGTCTTTACCGCTCCCTGACGAAAGATATGCAGCAGCAGAGAAACCACCTCCGCACCGTGCATAGTTTTGTTGAGGTATGTGTTCTAGGTGCCGTCTATGGTCGTGCGATAGTGTGCTTAACGCCAGAAATATATCTCCTAGTCCCTATGTGTGCTCGCTAGTACAGTGCTGCTCAATGAAATCCAGTCGTGTCGCTCAAGTTTGCGCCTTGCACCATTTCGCAGCCCAGTGTTCGCAGGTCTAGGGCTGCGCAACGCCCGGCACATACTTGAGGAATTTGACTGGATTTCATTGAGCAGGACTGTACGTGTTCTCAGTTGGGGGATTTTTGCCGAATCTAGTCACAGTACAGCTTTAGACAAAAATGAGTACACCATTTCTCTCCCTTCCCCGGTTTTGTGTGTTGAGTGTAGTATAGTTGCTGGTACTCCTTCTGTCTGAAATAGAACCTCGTCTCGTAGATTGCTCGTATGAGTTGTATCTCTGGTGTCTGGTCTTTAATGTCACAGGATGCTGGCAACAACTTCCGGTCCGCACAAGACGACCTGCGCATGATCGAGGAGTCTCTGAACCTTGCCTTCTCCGGTAATTACTTACCGAACCTCACACTGCCCAGAGGTGCAGCTAGTCGGGAAGCAACACCAGCGTCGCCATCTTTACCGTCTTCGTCATAAGTAACCTTGTCGAAAGTTGCACTGTTACACGTCATATTCTCTCTGAATCACAGAAACTAACATGAAACCTCTTTAGGACATATTCAAAAATTAAACTCATCTCTCTCGTGCCGCTGGTTGGCTTTTTTTTAACAAGCAAGTGGGCACCATCTGCATAGTTTGGGTCCGTTGCTGTCCTTTTGTTCGGTATGATGCGGTGCGTGATGCTGATCTTAATTTGTTTGGTTTTGCTAAGTGACAAGCATCGGTCTGTGCACTGATCAATAATTTCTCGGTCTGTGCTTTGTTGCTACTTGTCAAGTCTTTTCTTTCATTTCTTTTACTCAAATTTCTTCTTGTCTATCGAATGTTCTTCACATTAGCATTTCATTGTCTTTTTATTGTATGGAGTTATACGAGTGTTGTAACTCGTGGCGGGTGTAGATCTACTACCCGCTGGATTCTTGGCAAGACCTACTACACAACACTAGTACCGGTATATACAAGTATACTTTCCTCGGTGCATTTATGTGTCTACTATTGGAATTGTGAACCTGAGTAGATCTTTACCCGGAGCATTTGATCAGCCTTGTGTGCAGTGTCCGGTGTACTGCAGCCTGGCAGCAAGAGTGCATGAGGCCAGGGTTACTTGCTCTTGCTACCAGACGTGTGTGTGTGTGTGCCATCGTTGCACAAATGCCGTAATGATCGTAGCGCTTTACTTGGCTTGAGAGAAGGTCACCACCCCGTTACCAAGAGTACTCTTGCCGGCACTGAAGGGTGTACGGTGCTGTGCAGCAGTACAGTATGCAATTGTTGTGTACGGCAAGGTGGAGATGAAATTTGAAAATATTTTCCGGAGAAGCCTGCTCCCCTATACGAGACTAGCAAATCTAGCTCAATAGCCCCTACAGTAGTTATTTTTTTACTTTTGGACAAACGTGCAGTCAAAATGTGGTCAAAATTATTAATTTAAACTCGGATACTGAGCCAGTAATAAAATGTCAAAAGAGAAGAAACACATATTAAATATAACTCGTTCTCATGTGTTTCTTCTTCGACAAAATTATTACCGTATTATCTCTAATATAAGCACAGTCTCCAATAATAGCACGTCTCCAATAATAGAACACCCTGGGGCGGCATTCAAAAAAAAAAGTGCTCAGTCTCCATTATAAGCACACTGTGTAAATTCATTATCTGTACCGGCGAAAAACCCCTGAAACGTGATATGTGTGTCTGACATGAATTCGGCATGGCAACATTTGTTACAAGCCTCTGACTGAATGAGGTTGAAATAATAATGGAACAGTCTCCAATAAAGGAACGTCTCCAATAATAGCACGGGGCGGAGGTACATTGAAAAAACAAAGGACCGTGCTTATTACAGATTAGAGATACATGTAATACCAAGAGTACATAAACCTCTCTTGGTAATACCAAGAGTACATAAACCGGTTTATGTACTCTTGGTAATACCAAGAGTACATAACCCCCCGGTGGTTATGTACTCTTGGTAATACGGGTAAATAATAATTATATTTTCTTTTTACCAGGCGCTAGCGTGGGCCATTCCCTGAATTCATAGGTATAGGTACTACTACAGTAGATATTGGTTATAACGTGCCCTTCTGATTTTTCACATTTTATCACTATAACCGGTATATCACTACAGGCGATTTTCAACTGCGCGCGTCATACATACACATTATACACGTGTGGGTACTCGATCGTGCTAATGTAGCGTACTGATACGTGATGGATGCTACTGCACCTTCTCCAGTCTAGAGTGAAGAACTTCTTGGCCCAAAGGCATCATCCAGGAAGCACCAGACCAGAATACCCTATGACAACACACATGTGGCTCCAAGTCGAGACATCAATGCCTCACACTCGTGTGTTGCTATCACTATAGACGATAATTTTTCTGCACAAAGAGGTGTTTTGAATGGTGATTCTGTATCCTTATAGCCGATTTATCGCTATATACGATATATTGGTTATAATGATAATTTGACTGGCTTTTTCTGGTTTTGCTTTTGATATTTTCATTTTGTATCAATATAGCCGGTTTATCACTATGTCCGATGACTTTATAACCGATATCCACTGTACTAGGTGCCAGACATTCTTTTTTCTTTCTTTTTCTTTTTACCAGGCGTGCACGCGTGGGCCATCCCCTAAATAATCATAAATAATAATATATTTTGAGTTTTTGTATATTACAATTTACACTGCACACAGTCGATATCGTGAGTCATGCATGCATGATTGCATGCACGGTGACGTGTGAGACTGTGAGTCCGTTATGTCATGTACATGTACGCGAATGACTGTTGGGACATTCTTCCAAAACATGACGTCACATAATTCGTAAAAAAAAGACAACTTTTGTCGCAAGCGGCTAGCCTGTCGCGCTCGCGAGACTCATCTTGGGCGCGCTCGAGCTGCGAAGCGCGACACACGAGCGCGACCCAAACTGTGTCACGTGTGTGTCGAATCTGATCGCCTTCGATTATTTATTTTCGTTCTACTCGACAATTCCAAAAATCAGGCTTTAGCTTTGCCCTTGAACTTGAAATCTCGTGCCTTATTCTTTCCTGGGGACTGGTGTTGGATATTGAACGGGCGGAGTTACCGCCGGGATGATGGATGAAGGAGATGATGGCCTAAACTTGGCTGCGCGCATTCTCATTTTCGCGTGGCCTGCCACTAGTGTTTCGCAGATTCACAAAGGGTGTCACAGGCATAGCTGGAGGAAGAAAGGTGAGAGAATCGGTTGCACAGTGCAGATCAACCCAACCATTTGGTTGTTTTAATTTTACTTCGCACAGTCAAACGGGATGACCACCCAATAAAATTTCCGAACGTGACATTTTTGTAATTTATTGATTTTCCCGAATATACCACAGTTTATTGTTCATGTTATTTCGCTTCAACTTTCGAGGTATGAATTCCTCAACTGCAGACTCGACATGCAAGCTCCATACTGTCCAGGCTGTGTCAACATCAGGTCACGGCTTGTTTGACTTCGTCCGTTAGGCTGTGTTTGCATAGATATTGTGATGGTGTCAAAGACAGTAAAAAGATTGTGTTGGTCGTGTGTCGGGGCGGGGGTATTGTCCCCGCCGAAACTGAATGCAAGTTTAAGAAAGACTAGGTCTAGTGAGTTATGATCAGAAGTGTCCTGTGGGTCTAGCCCTCAGCCCCTCTGCGGCAAGCAGTAAACTATATTTACACCAAAAAGCGCAAAACAAGACTTGATTTTTTACGCGGCTCTTTTCACCATGATAATTATTGTACGCGTGTTTTGAAAATTTGAAATACTCATGGCAACTGGTGGGTGAATCATTCAAAAATTCAAACGTGCCCGCTGTTGAGTGCAGCCATGTGAATCTACACAGTCAATTTTCTCGTAAATCACTCGCCGTAAAACGTGCAAGTGGCTGTCGTGTGAATCGCCTATAACTGACTGTCTGCAGTTGTCGAAGTATTTCCCTGCACTCACTGTACTTTGTTAGAGATGTTCCGCATAACGTAATAACGGTAGTTAAAAAATGTAGTCGATCTACGGAAAGTCTTACGTAAACTGCATGCGCATCTGGGTTCCGCCATACGGAGTTTTCAAATCATAGCAGACTCAGCGGAGGACGTTCAGGTTGGTTGTAACTCTTGAGTTCATGCCGTTAGGCAAACATCAGACAACTGATACTCGGGTCTACCCGACAGTGAGTCAGTATGCTTATAAATACATAGGGCCAGAAGCATAAACAAATTTAGCGCTAAATCTGGTGTAAGGTATGGGGAGAACAGCTGGTGCGGGCCACAGCGCGACAGTAGAAGTGCCGGGAGGGTGGCAGGCAACAGGCAGGTGTGAGCATGAAAGCGCAGAAAGAGGCGATGGGGAGGCAGTGTACAGCAGATGCTGGTGCCGGTTGTGCTGGCGCTGCTGTTGCTGGTCTACTGTTGTTGTTGGCTTACTGATTGTTTGGCTGTTGCTGTTGCTGGTCTACTACTGTTACTTGTGCTGTTGCTGTTGCTGGCTTACTGATGGAGCTGCTGTTGTTCTTGCTGGTCTCCTGCTGTTGCTTGTGGTGATGCCGTGCTGTCACAGGTACTGCCTGATGAGCGTCGGTGGCTGCTACACAGATTTCCGTATCGACTTTGGTGGCACATCCGTCTGGTATCATATTCTCAAGGGTGGAAAGGTCAGGATTCCCTGTCTGTTTGTCTGCACGCCTGTCTGTTTTTGTGTCACACACACACAGTATATAGATGGACGATGGGTGTAGATACAGACATACATCTGTCTGTCTGTCTGTATGTCTGTCTGTCTGTCTGTTTATCTGTCTGTCTGTCTGTCTGTTTCTCTACCCATCATCCATCCGTACTTGTATGTATATTTACCTCTCTGTCCATCCTTCTGACTGACAAGCTCCTTTTAATCACGAATGTGTCTTGTAGCAGAACCTGAGAAGGAAGTGGAATGAGAAGAAGAAAGCTGGCATTGGCTTAAGTGTACAGCATTTCACTGATTAGAAGTCGCACTTGATGATAAGTTGCAACAGGTCTGAGCCAAGTTGTTTCAATACAGTACATTCACATATTACGTAGGAAGAAGTCACGCTCGATTGTAAGTCACACCACCTTCTTTAGGGGTCTTCCGTAATTTACGAAAAATTAAAAAATCCGTCCTCGTGCAAAATTGTCTCTGACCCACCCACCCACCCCCATTTTTTCCGTTAAGTTTTTGATTTTACCGATGCCCAGCTCGAAAATAATAACTCCTGACCCCATGTTTTCTGACTGCACCTACATTGTATGTCAAGTACTAGTAGCTAAGTACAGTGAGTAGTAGGTCTACCGACGGCCATGCACGTCCTACAACTACATGAAAAGTCTGAAAAGTCATGTATAGTAGATACTGGTGTTTGCGACAATCGATCCTACACTACGTCTACACCAGGGAGTCGTAAATACCGGTATTTTACGACTCCCTGGTCTACAGTACACTACACAGTCAGTGCAACAAGTGTATGAAAGTCTCGGCCTGGAGCAAAAAAAAGAAAGAAAAAAAGGTACGAATAATCAAAAAAATTAATTCAGCCAGCACTCTTGACAACCCTACCCCTTTTTGCCCGAGGACGGATTTTTTAATTTTTCGAAAAATACAGACGACTCCTTACCTGTTCATTGGTTGAGGGAAAGATGCAAACGGGAAACGTCTGAAGAAAAAATTGACTGGCGCCACCAGGACTCGAGCCAGGCGCCTTCACTTGAGGGCAGCGGTGCTCTAACCCTTCTTTACCGTTGAGGTTCAGTGTGAAAAGGTGTGACTAACTGTCCTGCTTACAATGCGGTCGTGTGTGTGTGTGTGTGTGTGTGTGTGTGTGTGTGCGTGTGTGTGCGTGTGTTTGTTGTGCACTGCAGGTTTTCTGGCTGATTCCACCGACCCCAATCAATCTTCAGATCTATGAGCAGTGGGTGTTGTCGGGTAAACAGCAGGATATATTCCTGGGTGACATGGTCGAGAAGTGTGCCCGCGTCGAATTGAAACCAGGCTGGACTTTTGTCATTCCTACTGGTGAGTGAAATTGTGTAAGTGTGTGTATGTATGTATGTGTGTGTGTGTGTGTAAGTGTGTGTAAGTGTGTGTATGTATGTGCCAGCTAGTTCGGTTGGTTGGTGCCTTTATGCCTGATTGTGTTGGGTCTGTTGCCAACGGGCTCGGCTGCTTGAAGGTGTAATGCGTGTGTGTGTGTGTGTGCATGTATGTTTGTGTGTTTGTGTGTGTGTACGTGTGTGCATGTGTACGCGCGTGTGTATGTGTGTGTGTGTGGTTGTGTGTGTGTGTGTGTGTGTGTGTGTGTCTGTGTCTTTGTTGCCACACCTGCCGACATGTCAGTAGCCTGCTGATTTTGGAGGCATTTCACGACCCGCCGACAATTGACCTTTTCCTGCCGACAACAGACATGAAAATGTCCCGTTCTGACGTTATGCTTCGTTTAGAACTAAATTAGAACATAATAGAAGTCATGTTCCAGATTTTTGCTCTTACTGGTCATCGTGTTTGTTTTCATTGCTCTCTCCTATGGTGCTAAGTGAAATCATTATTCTGTCTCGGGGGAAAATCTGATAGCTCAATCTGAGTTTCACGCAGACCCGTGCTTTTTTAAAGGGGAAGTATACCCTAAAATCAAATTTTCACCAGTTGTAGTCTTCGGGGTGCTGAGTCGAATGGTCTTGGTCCGAGGAAGCTGCGACGCTCCCTTCCTTCTTTTTTCCCAATCGAACTCGCGCACTTCCACCGAAACTGGGTGACTGCGCCCTACTAGATGGGGATTTGTATGCAAAATGTCACTAAAGGCGCCATGTCGTTCTTATAAAAGCACGGATGACCGCGATTGGCCCATGTGTTGTAGTCGTTTGGACGCTGAGTCGACTAGTTTTGGTCCGAAAAAGGCTGCGATGCAGCGTTCCTCCTTTATTCCCAATCGAACATGGTTGAACAAGCGGTCACGTGCTCCAGGGTGCCCAACTCACCTGGTCACCGCGCCAGCAGGCGACAACTTTCACACCAAGGTTCAACTCGAGTTCAATTCGAGTGACAGGACTGCACCAAAAAAAGGTCAAACAGGCTAGTAAGTTGTACCCTGCAGGCACGATGACCAGGTGACTGGTGTACGCGGGAGCACGTGACAGCTTGTTCAACCATGACTCAGCGTCTAAAAGACTACAACATAAGGAGGAAGAGAGCGTCTCAGCTTCCTCGGACCAAGACCATTCGACTCAGCACCCCGAAGACTACAACTGGTGAAAATGTGATTTTAGGGTATACTTCCCCTTTAACAGTGCGCTTTGTGTGCATGTGTATACTGGGGTTACTATGATGGGGGTCTTGGGGCAAAAAGCCCCCAGATGATGCATTTTATTTTTTCATCCTACTGATATTTGGCCAAAGTGATGTGGCAACACTGGTGTGTGTATGTTTGTTCGTTGACAGGCTGGATTCATGCAGTTCACACTCCTGTGGATTCGCTAGTGTTTGGTGGAAACTTTCTGCACAGTTTCAACATAAGCGGTCAGCTTGCCGTGGCGGACATTGAAGAAACTACTAAGGTACGTGAGCTGTGGTGGGCATGTCTGTGATATCTTCTACAACTCTACCACGGCAATGCCTTGTGTGAGCTTTCCAAGGCTTGGAGTTGTGCATGAAGGTTTCTGTTTTGTTATGTTCCTACGTCGTTCATCGATGTTGCCGTGGAACTGTGTGTGTATGTGTCTCTGTCTCTGCCTCTCTCTGTCTCTCTCTCTGTCTCTCTGTCTCTCTCTCTCTCTCTCTCTCTCTCTCTCTCTCCATCTCTCTCTCTCTCCATCTCTCTCTCTCTCTCTCCATCTCCGTATACTTCACTTTGTTCCACTATGACTCCCTTCGTGTCTTATCATGCAGGTTCCGCAGAAGTTCCGCTTTCCCTTCTTCACGCAGCTCATGTGGTACGCACTAGACAAGTACGCGCACTCTCTGCGTTACTACCTGGAACAGTTTCACGGGTACAAGCCTGATGACAGTACCACCATCACACCCACTGGCACCATCGTCATGGACACCATCGTCATGGACGCCATAGATACTGTGGACAACACCATCGACATTGCAATGGACACCACCATTGACACTGCCATGGACACAAGTACTAGCGGCAAGGAGAAAGAAGAGAGCGATACTTCCCACACTGCTACAACTACTGCTGATGCTACCGAGCCGAGTGATGCGAAGTGTGAGACCGAGAGCGTTGCAACACCAGAGCCACCTGTTGCCGACGCCACCCCGGCAAAGTCCACACGCGTTGAGAAAGCGCACGTTTCCGACAGACCGTCCTCCCCTAGTCCCAGAATGCGGCGTCGCAAGGCTGCAATCGCCGCGGCCGCCGCCATTTCTATCTTGTATCTTGCAGGTATATCATCTCGTGACGACCACATTTAAGTCTGAATTTGAAGTGCGAAGATGCTTCAGCAACCACATCGTACTTTTCCATTGCTTTCATTGTGCTTCTACTGTGCATGTGTGTAACTTGTGGGTATATATGTGATGACATTGTATGCTGGCGACACGGTCAGATTTTGTCCATGCGTGTAACGTACACCTGCATGTTATGCATTGAAAAGGATCTGCCACTTGCGATCCTGGGACAAGTATCAGGTCAGCTTTGTCTTGTGTGGGCTGTACCAGATTGCTGTTCACTTTTCCATCTGTTGGATATGTGACTTTCTGCAAGTTTCTGGTGTATGGCGGCCACTTCTTTGCTTGTCACTTTGTATGATTTACATTCTGTATTCGCTGCTTCCATGGCGTGGTCTGCAAACTGCAATCCTTAGGCAAATGTCATGTTTGCTATGTTGTGCTTTGGCCGTCAGCTTGTCTACACGTTGTAGTTGAATTATTTTGTTCCACAACTGACTTCCTTTTAAAAGTACGGTGGCCACTGCTTTGCATGGCATTTTACATGAAGAATTTCCTGTTTGTGTCGTGTGCATGTGCGTATGTGTGCGTGTACCGTGTGCATCCACGTGTTTGTGTATCTGTGTGCGGGGTAAGCGAGGTGGGGAGGGCTGGTATGTATCAGTGTGTTATCGCAGTCTCATGCCTACATACAGCACATCGCGCGCGTGTTCATCATGTTTACCTTCGGGGTTGGGGTGGGGAGGGAACGGAAAAAAAACTGAAATTATCCATATAAAAATCTCTTTGTGAGCGGTTCTGAAAAACCTTTACTGGCGCTGCCCCGTCGTAAAAGTAAGAAATTAAAACTGGCCCATTGTCCCCCCAAATGTGAACTGATCCACCTAAATCGGGAATGACGGGACCCGAACGCACCAGTAGCACGAGGTCGGGAGGGCACAGGATCACAGCACATCATAGGGTAACACCATCACTAGTACATGGTATCAGTGGCAGTGTAACTTTGCTAGTACACATAGTTACTTCCATCGGATATCCAACATGGGAGTTCATCAACGACCATGGCCTGCGGACCAGCGTCCCCAGCTGCATCCACAGGTAGGAACCTGATTGATTGATTGATTTTATTTGGATTTGCGAGACCAAACGAGCAGGAGTGCTCAATAACAGGGTAGCGAATGGTTGAGTTGTGCTATGTGACAATGTAGTGTGTGCGGAGGCCCAATACGATGTAAGGGGATGGGAGGAGAGAAGGCCAGCGGAGAGTCAAACTCAGAAGAGGGAGGAGAGAATAACTGAAGTACACATTTACTGTGCGAATTCAAATAAACCAGACAAACAGCAAAACGAGTACACAACTCACGAGAATAAAGAGGACTGGAGCACAGAATTGAACTGCTGAAGTACACAGCTGACGAGAATAAAGACAGGAGCACAGAAATGAACGGGAGGCAGTCTACGAAGTGGTGGTACCACCGGTGCATGCACCACGGTACATTATCACATTATCGGCTTTGCAAAGTTCGTGGGTACTGAATACCATGGTATGGCCAACTGTGTAGCAGTCTACAACGACTTACGTGTAGGGAATGGCAGCTTGGCGGAATGCTGGGATGTTGCCCATAGCTCGCACCGTGTCAGGTATATGGTTCCATAACAGGCAACCGCGAGATGCCGGTCTACATTGGCCTGCTCGGCTTCTGGCTATTGGTTGTTGTAGGCCCAGACTGTGCTGAAGGCGAGTTGCTCCGCAGTTGCGAACAAACAGTGCCTGCAGAGCAGGACTGGCACGGTTATGAACGCACCGCCATACCAGCACGAGCAGTTTCTGGCGATATACCTCGTCCATGCGATAAACAGAGAGCCTCTCCAAGAGATCACTGGCCCTGGTAAATCGTGGTCGTCCGAACACCGCCCTTGCTGCGCGGTTTTGGGCCACCTGCAAGCGGTTTAGCTGGTTGTGGGTCAAGCCGGAGCCATATGCTGACGATCCATATATCAAATCCGGCATGATGACAGATAGGAAGTACTTGCTTCGACTAGCTAGAGTGAGGCAGCGTCGCGCCCGCCACAGACTACCGATCTTCCTAGCAGTGCGTGAGATGCACCGGTCAACTTGCGGTTGCCAGGTCATTCGTTCATCGATTAAGACGCCGAGGTATTTCGCGCTGGTGGTGTGCGGAAGCACATCATTTCGACAGCGTACACCCACGTCCGGCTGCTGCCCACTGCTGCTGGTAAAAACCAATACATTACTCTTCTTTGCATTTAATACAAGACCACGAGTGTCCAGCCAACTTGAGAGGGAGGTAACCGCCAAGCTGAGCGCATCAGACACCTCTTGCGCTGTCCGTCTTGCACATGTCAGGGCGATGTTATCCGCAAACTGCAGCGATGATGCCGGCGCAGATTCCAAGGGGATATCTCTGGTGTATATGGAGAACAGCATGGGTCCTAGTACAGAGCCCTGCGACACACCACAAGTGCACCCTCGTGCTACTGCTGCGTTCGGGTCACGTCATTTGCGATTTAGGTGGATCAGTTCACATTTGGGGGTACAATGAGCCAGTTTTAATTTCTTACTTTTACGACGGGGCAGCGCCAGTAAAGGTTTTTCAGCGGTTCAAGTTATATGGATAATGTAAATAATACTCAATACGCTACCTGTGGTGCGGTGCAAGCTCAGCACTGAGCTAAATCAAACTAAATCAAACATACAGCCTACACAGCCTCTAATGGCCCTCTATACAGTGCTGCGATGGCAGAACTTCTGAAGTTCACATCACCTTTCTTCCTCCAGCTATGCCTGTGACACCCTTTGTGAATCAAACACTAGTGGCAGGCCACGCGAAAATGAGAATGCGCGCAGCCAAGATTAGGCCATCATCTCCTTCATCCATCATCCCGGCGGTCACTCCGCCCGTTCAATATCCAACACCAGTCCCCAAGAAGGAATAAGGCCCGAGATTTCAAGTTCAAGGGCAAAGCTAAAGCCAATGGCACTGATTTTTGGAATTGTCGAGTAGAACGAAAATAAATAATCGAAGGCGATATGACGGTCAGATTCGACACACACGTGACACAGTTTGGGTCGCGCTCGTGTGTCGCGCTTCGCAGCTCGAGCGCTTGTCTCTCGCGCTTGCGACAGGCTAGCCGCTTGCGACAAAAGTTGTCTTTTTTTTACGAATTCTGTGACGTCATGTTTTGGAAGAATGTCCCAACAGTCATTCGCGTACATGTACCGTAAAGTACCGTTGATCCGCCCCCACGCCATGTCGCTTCCCAGCTGGGTTTTCGGCAGGGGGCGGGAATTAGATCAAGGCTGTCAAGTGCAGTACGATGTACAACAACGTAGAGGATCAGACTCAAAGTGCTAAAATTAATTGTGCACATTTTGATCCTGGATTGGCAAGTATTGTGTACAGCAGTGCATGCGTCGGTTCAACATCGTATTTCGTTGTATACGGCGAAGTCGCTTCACAAGGAGAAAATCGACAGGGGGCGGGAATTAGAGAGGGGGCGGATCAACGGTACTTTACGGTACATGTCATGTTCATGACGCATTCATGACTCCGTGTTACGTCATTCATTTTTTTTTTTTTTTTTTTTTTTTTTTTTTTTTTTTTTTTTTGTTTTTTCCGAGTTGGCACCTATGAATTCAGGGGATGGCCCACGCCTGGTAAAAAGAAAAAAGAAAGAAAAAAAAAGAATGTCTGGCACCTATGAATTCAGGGGATGGCCCACGCCTGGTAAAAAGAAAAAGAAAAAGAAAAAAAGAAATCATATTAACAAAGAAAACTAAAGAAAAAAGAATGTTTGGCACCTATGAATTCAGGGGATGGCCCACGCCTGGTAAAAAAGAAAAAGAAAAAAAGAAATCATAACAAAGAAAGAAATCATAACAAAGAAAACTAACTAATAGCGAAAACAATACAGCCATTTTTTTTTTTCATTCATTGGACGATTTTTTTACCTCTTGCTGTTGTACTTGCAATCACAATCAAATCTGTACAATTTTTTGTGTGTAAACTGCAACAACTAACTTTGGCATCAATCGAGCACTTTATGGGTTTCTCTTCAGAAGAAAACCTTT